TTGAATATAACTCACCTATCATTTATCATTAGTGTAAATATAATTGATTGTGATATGTTATAAATTCTACTCTCTTTGAATATTGAAAATAACTCACCTATCATTTATCATTAGTGTAAATATAATTGAGAATGAGATGTTATAAATTCTACTCTCTTTGATTATTGAATATAACTCACCTATCATTTATCATTAGTGTAAATATAATTGAGAATGAGATGTTATAAATTCTACTCTCTTTGATTATTGAATATAACTCACCTATCATTTATCATTAGTGTAAATATAATTGAGAATGAGATGTTATAAATTCTACTCTCTTTGAATATTGAAAATAACTCACCTATCATTTATCATTAGTGTAAATATAATTGAGAATGAGATGTTATAAATTCTACTCTCTTTGATTATTGAATATAACTCACCTATCATTTATCATTAGTGTAAATATAATTGAGAATGAGATGTTATAAATTCTACTCCCTTTGAATATTGAAAATAACTCACCTATCATTTATCATTAGTGTAAATATAATTGAGAATGAGATGTTATAAATTCTACTCACTTTGAATATTGAATATAACTCAATAATCATTTAACATCACTTGAAATATAACAGAGTGAGATGTTATAAATTCTACTCACTATGATTATTGAATATAACTCAGTTATCATTTTACAGTAGTTGTTATAAATGCACTCACTTTATCATTAATTATTTTTAATATAACCGATTATTGAATATAACTAATTACTGTTATCATTTAATACCAGTTGAAATATAATCATAAGTGAGACAATAGACAAAGTTTATAACAAACATACATTTTAAATAGTTCAGGTGTGTGCCACAAAATACTACATTGGTTTAATGTTATAATTTATAGATATCAATAATATGATGAAACCTTTTGTTTGTTTTACTTTTGCATAATTCCAAACAGATGACTGCATTTATTGGACAAATTTCACTTTTTATTTAAGAATTTAGTTATAAAAAGTCTTTTAAATGGAGTACACTATATTAGACACTTACAGTTAGTACTAAAATAGACTTATAAATAAAACAAATTCTAGACGTTTTTTCATTAACATTTAGACGTTTGTCACAAAAGACAGCCTGTGTTTCCAAGTCTAATAAAACTTGTCCTTATAGGAAAATAGTTTATTGACTTGGTCCAATATAAGAACCCCAGGGAGTCTACAAACTATGGTTTGCTAAAATCATTCCTCACACAAGCGGAAATCATTTTAGCAGACTGGCAAGGCAGTTGTCCCAATAGACTAGTACAATTCTCAGCGGTGGTATAAAATAGCTCTGAAAAGACCATGAAATGAGATATGTAATGGTGATAGATTAGTACAGGCAAAGAAGAGACTGGTGAACTATCCTATAGGGACATGGCCCACTTCTTTCATCTTATTTTACTCCTGGAACCTAATAACTACATTATTTTTCTCCAGGTCTCTGAAGTTTTCTCTCACATAAAGACATTACGGTAATACATATAGGTAAAATGTAACCAGTGGTTACTCATTACCTATTATAACTGTATAGATTATTATTACCTTTAATGATAAGCTCAATTATTTCAATAACAATTAGTTGGACATGATTTAAAGGGAATGTTCCTTTTAATGTTATTTTGGCTAAAAGGGTTATCTTTGATTTTGAGCTTTTGTTGTGTAATGCAATTTAAATTTATCAAATGTATCAATGCATGCTGTAAAATTCCCCAGATCTTGGAAAGATTCACACCAGAGGGTCCAAGATACCCACGTACACTACTCATAACAGAGCCCAAGATGGCCCAGTTCCCTGAAAGACTCGCACCAGAGCTTATGATGCCCCAGTTCTCTGAAATACGCACACCAGAGGCCAAGATAACCCTATTCACTGAAAGATTGCCAAAGTCTATGATGCCACAGTTCACTGAAAGACTCACCAAAGCCCAAGATATCTCAGTTCTCTGAAAGATTCACCAGAGCCCAAGATATTCCAATTTACTGAAAGATTGCCAAAGTCTATGTCGCAGATCCATGAAAGACTCACACCAGAGCCCAAGATTTTCCAGTTCACTGAAAGATTTATCAGAGAGCCTATGATGCCTCAGTTCTCTGAAAGATTCGCCTTGAACCCCCCTGTTCACTTCAAGACTGACACCTGAGCCTAACATGCCCATGGTCTCTTAGTGATTTACCAGAGCCTAAGATGCCCCTGTTCAATGAATGACTCAAGTCAGTTTTCTCATATATACATGTAGCATGATTCTTTTCCATATGGATTCACCTAGAAGATGTTATGTTTGAGAATTAATCACGTTATTGAGGATTTAAACTTGTCTGAAGTAATTTGTACTTAGCTGTAATTTATGAGGCAGAAATTTTCCGTGATTAAAATTGCTGACATTTATTTAAAATTTGAAAGGAAATTCTTAAATGATTTATATTACCCTCTGTCTGCTCATTACTACCACTGGGATTCCTCCATAATCAACATCTCATTTTGCATACAGATTTGATAAAAATCTAGAGTAATAAAAGTTTCAGTGTTTGAAGGTGTGGAACTTTGCTGATGAGAAAAACACTATTATAACCAGGTTCCCAGGGGATAGTCTAGCTTGAGATTCGTGTGGAAATTTTAACCCATTGTAATGTAATTTCTATTGTTGTCTCTTGTGACATGACAACACGTTCCCTAGTTTAGAAACGTATATAATAACCAACTTTATTGATGATATTTAGAGGGAATTTGATTTCTATCTGATACTATTATGTTTCTCTAGAAATGGAGGAAGGTTTATGCTGTAAAAATGTTTCTAGCTATCCCACTGAGAGTTATCATTACATGAGGTAGCGTGCTGATGTTGTGCGTCACATCCCCAAGGAGGTTCTTCCTAATTAACTCCGCTAGCGAATGCCCCAAATCAATTGGAAAATCATCCACTCTTGGGAAAGAAACATATTTTGTGTAAAATGACGACTGTATCTAGGGATTTGAGTTTTATTACTCTTAGAAGTCTGAAATAAATAAAGTCAAATAAATATTAATGGAGAACAGTAGTGGAAACCATGGAGATTAGAATATATGTGAAATTCATTTGTGATCTTTTCTCAACACGCCCCTTAAATTATTGCACCAAAATATATTATGCACAACGTAATTAAAAAAGAATAATGTATGGTATACATCAATGTAGTGAAGTACAAAATACAAATGGTTTATAATGTACTGCATACATGAGTGTAGTGAAGTACAAATACAAATTATTTATAATGTACCGTATACATCAATGTAGTAAAGTGCAAATACAAATTGTTTATAATGTACTGTATACATCAATGTAGTGAAGTACAAATACAAATTATTTATAATGTACTGTATACATCAATGTAGTGAAGTACAAATACAAATTATTTATAATGTACTGTATACATCAATGTAGTAAAGTACAAATACAAATTGTTTATAATGTACTGTATACATCATACATCAATGTAGTATAGTACAAAATGCAAATTGTTTATAAGTACAGTTTACATCAATGTAGTAAAGTACAAAATACAAATTGTTTATAATGTACTGTATTCATCAATGTATTGAAGTACAAAATACAAATTGTTTGTTATGTACTGTATACAATATACATCAATGTAGTATAGTACAAAATGCAAATTGTTTATAAGTACAGTTTACATCAATGTAGTAAAGTACAAAATGCACATTGTTTATAAGTACAGTTTACATCAATGTAGTAAAGTACAAAATACAAATTGTTTATAATGTTCAGTTTACATCAATGTAGCAAAGTACAAAATTCAAATTGTTTATAAGTACAGTTTACATCAATGTAGAAAAGTACAAAATACAAATTGTTTATAATGTTCAGTTTACATCAATGTAGTAAAGTGTTATGAGCATGTAATATGAATATTAAGTATGTCATGAATATTTAGTAGCCTGCATGTGCATGCTTGGCGTGCAGGACTGTTGTAGCGTTACTTCATGTGTGGTCACCATGATGTGTGGACGTGTTCCACTGGAATAAATATATGAACAATAATGTGTTGTATATGACTTTAACATAATGTACAAAATACAAGTTATTTGAAATGATATAATTGATGTCAAGTTTTATATTTCTCATTTTCGGATTGGTCTAAAGATAAGTCACACGGTGCAGTGTGCAATGGGACAAATTTTATTATAGGAGGTTTTTCTAAAGCTTAAGATGTTTAGTTTTGTTTATTTGCTGGGGTTTATTGTCTCATTCTAGATTTGACAAAATGGCAGTTCAGTTGAACATAACCCTGATATAATGTGTTTTACATACCTAGATACGATTTTGTTAAACTGATCAAAATATTATAAATAGTAGGCCAATACAAGTTAAAATTTGAAAATGAATATCCAAGAATTCCTCTCATTCTGGAATAAATTTTTAAACATATCTTTGCATTTCTTAACATTACTATAACTAGAATCAGTGAAGTTGCCCATAGAGTTATAGAAACAAAATGATAGCAGATAGAGCCAAATAGAGAGGGAGTTTCCATCAGGGTTCAATTTAAGGAGTATCACATTGCAGTCTGCGAGCCAAATGATGCTTATTGCGAATCTAAGCATATATCTGTATATTGTTCATGAGGATTTTTTGGTCAAATTCTAGAAATAATAGGAATCTCTCTCTGGAAATTGTGGATCTATTAGAAATAGCTGGATCCATTGTATACCCATTAATCATAATATTTCGTTATTTTAGACCTCATTAGCCAAGACTGATCTTCCAACTTGAATTTTAGTTTTATTGTGCCTCTAATTCTAGATGATGATAGCAGTATGATGATTGTAGACTATAATATGATGGATGGATGTGACACACCTTCATCTGTTTCATCACAAAGTCCAGTACCACCCAGTAATGAACCGATGTCACCTAAACCTCCAGGATTTACTCCAGAAAATGTACCCTATTCTGAAGGTGTTGATGATTCTCATCCTTATGCTTGTCAGTATTGTGAAAAGGCTTTTGCCAGATTGGGTCATCTTAAAATTCATGAACAGGTATGATCAGCGTTTCTGAAACTATAGTTTGTTGTATTGATTGGTCCAGAAAAAACAATAACCCCTTTCATTTCAGGATGTATCAAAGCTAAGACCATATAATTTTAACTTCATATTAATTAAATGTTAGAATGTTTCACCAAATTTCAGCTATACAGGTTGAACCATTTGAAAATAGCAGCCTTTTAAAAATTCCATGTCAAAAAATATAATGCCGAAAGAAATTACTGAAGGCTTTTTTTTATTGTATTAGCTTTGATACTCTTTGAAAAAATCCTGAAATGAATAGTGTTTTTTTGTTAGGCCAGCAGATATGTTGTATTTGCAGACGCTATGTTTGTTAGTCCATTCACATTTCCTCATAATCACTCTTAAATCTACAGTTTTTATCTGAATTTGATATTTTTATGCTTTCCAAATATTAACCCACGTGATCTCCCATATAGAAATTGTTATAACTCCTTTAGTTTTCCAGCAATTCTCAGAAAATTTTTGTAATTTAACCTCCATGTTCTTGAGTTGTGAAATGCAATACCTAGCTCATCTAGTTTTAAACCAATTTTCATAAAACGTTTATGTAATGGCATAGAAAATTGTTAAGGAATTTTCTTGTTTTTTAAACCATATTATGCTGAAGTGGGCATAGTTGGACGTGATCTGCTATCTTTTCAACTTTGTTAATTCTTGTATTTATGTTTTACATGTGGGCATACAAAAGTAAAATTATATTATTTTTTAGGTTCATGCTGATCAGTTGCCGTTTAAATGTAGTTATTGTAATCGTTTATTTCGACATAAACGAAGTCGTGATCGTCATATGAAACTACATACTGGTATCAAAAAATTCAAGTGCACTGAATGTACTTCTGCTTTTGCAAGGTGAGTAAAGCTTTGGATAAACACTTCTAATTTCCCTCTAATTTTTCAAAAAGACAACCTTTTGACATATGCTGTGTATGTAATCAACTGTTTAGAATAAAAGTTGCATTCTTGAAGTAAATTTAGAGATTAAAATTCTCTGTTAGAATGATTGTTACTACAGGGACCGATATCATACTGTTTGTTGAAAAAAAAAATCGTTTTGGATTGTAATAATAATAGCATGGCCATGGAAAGTTGTTAATGTTCTATTTTATTTAAAGAATAATAACATATGAACAATTTCAACCTTTTATTGTACAGATGCAAGGTGTTTTCACGTAGTAAAGCCACTTTATTCCATTTCACTTATTTCCATTTCCACTGAAATTTCAGATTCCACAACTCAAAATTTTGTATTCACAACTGGAAATTTCAGATTCCACAACTCAAATTTTGTATTCCACAGCTCAAAAATTTCAGATTACACAACTCAAAATTTCAGATTCCACAACTCGGAATTTCAGATTCCACAACTCGGAATTTCGGATTCCACAAGTCAAATTTCAGATTCCAAAACACAAAATTGCATATTCGAAAAGTCGAATTTACAGATGGCAAAACTCAAAATATTTTCAGAAAAATAAAATAAATTTTTTTTTCTTAGGTGTGCCTAAAATACTTTCGTAGGTCCCTGTGATCGTTAACAATTTATTTGTGACATAAAATTCAGACTGTATTTTGTCTTATACGTACACAGTACATACAATACATGTACATATGCACACAAAATTTACCTTCTGACATTGTTAAGGTATATTATTATGGCTTACATGTTTTCTTTTGAATCAGAAATTGTCATAAAACATCATGATGTTAATATTTAAAATAAACACTTTACCTAATTGAAATTCCAATTGGATTTGAAAATGATAAAAGTGTTCTTATCTTGAAGCATATTCATCAGGTAGCTATCTGTTAGAAATTGAAATTGATTATAAATGGCAAAGATTCTCATGTGGTTTAACAGATACTTTCATTTTACTTTTATATATCAAAATGTCGATGTCACCAATCTAAAACTGATTTCAAATCACTTTTGAGACAGAATACATAATTATGTTTTCAAAAAGCTGTCAAAATTGATTTCCCCACGGACACCTCACTAACGTATCTTTACCTTTCCCTGTAGACTAGGCGACTAGATGTAAAGAAAATATAATGATACTCAACGGATCAACAGGAACATTAACCTTTTCATGAAAATTATTGAAATCACTGTTCTTTAATTGACAAGGGATAGTTTAACAGGCAACTTTCAAATGTTTGAAAGGAAAATGAGTTGTGTGGACACATTGGTTATAAAACATTCTTATTTGAAATAATAATTAAAGATGGGGTCCTCTTTCAAATTATTATTTATGACTTTTTTGAAAGGTTAGTTTGAAATGCCATTCATATTTATCTCAGGGTTAGTTTGAAATGTCATACACATTATGTAAGCACAAGGTTTTGATTCGTATTTTACACAGAATGTATGATTTCAATTGTAGAATCTAAATTAATTATGCAATGTTAAGTGTTAGGTTAGTCTTGAAAAGTGTAATTTATTATTCATTAGGCTGATAGAAAATGTTTCAATACATACAGATATTCTCTGCAAAAAAACACTTTGGCTGACATTTGAAACTCTTATCTCAAGCTTCTCAATATTTGTCTTTGTGATTCCTCCGTCAGTACACAAGTGACTGATAAATAGCAAACATGTAACACATGAAATAAGAGTTAGGTATTAAATTTTGTGAATCTCTACAGAATTTTTCAGTGAAATTTTATTTAATACTGGATCTTATAGGTTGAAGACTTAATCCTACGCTAACCAAAATTTAGTTCCTTAGTTATCCTTGATGTCACAAGCTGGCAAAAGTGTTAAATAAAAAATAGGGAAAATTTCAATCTCTGCTCCTTGAATCAGCTTTGGCCATCTAGTTAACAAATGAGAAATACTTTAAAGAAATTAAAATAAGATAATGAAGTAAAATAAGAGACAAACCCATACAAGGTATTGAAATAAGGATAAATTTTGATAATCAAAGAACATGAGAAAGAAACCCTGACCAACAAAAGGTTTAAAATTGGAGGGGAAAAAAATGAGAGAGCAAGAATATAACAAAAAAATAAAATTTGAAATTTCTTCAAAAGTAGTCTTATTTGAAATAAAGCTTGTTTCATTCTCTTTAACAGAGACTCTATCTTTAATATTAGAAGTTTGAAAATAAACGCTAGTGGTTAAATGGGACAAGGGTTGTCACTAAGGAATAGCTTAACTATTAAAATCAATATCAAATGACTGGCCACTAATCGGATAGCTTTTGCTCATTTACCAAACTTGAAAATGACACTCTTAGGAATAGCTTTAATAGTCTAAACAGTATCAATTGAAATAGATTTAGCCTGTTTTTATCAACATAGACATTAGGATTTTATTACACTATTGTTTTAAATACATCAACATGAAATGACTTAAGGACATTTGCTGGTCATGACTCACACATTTGTTGCATGTACAGAATAGATATACTCTAAATTAACAGCATCAGTTTGTTAAATGATTGAAGCCAACAAAATATTTATGATAAACATGGTCTGTTAGCTTTTATTTTCAATGTAACCACTTCAGTTAGGGTCCAACTACAGTCCTCTTAAATGTTTGTCAAATTAACCTTTTGACCTATCTGATTAACACTGTGTCACAAAATGCTAGCGTTAATTTGACGAACATCTAAGAGGGCTGATATTAGACCCTAACTGAAGTGGTTATATTAGAAATAAAATCTAATAAAAAAACAAAAGTTTGGTCTAATTTTAACTAGACTGACACAGTGATGTTGTGGAATAAATGTTTGAACAACTATCATTACTGCTAAAAAAGAGTCAGTGAAGTATTTTTTATGCTTTTTTTTTAATGCTTTTTTTTTAATGCTTTAGAAACATTAACCCTTTGTTTCTTTCTGTATTTCAGGAGTGATCACTTGAAAAGTCATCTGAAAACTCACAAGAATGACAAGAGCACAGTTTGTCCTGTCTGTCATCGAACATTCCAGAATACTGCTGCATTAACATCACATATGTTGTCTCAGCACAAGCCATCAAGCTCTTCTGGTGGTCACAAATGTCTTCAGTGTCAAAAACAGTTCACGAACATGCATGATCTTCAGACCCACATACTCACCCACATCAAATCAGAGCAATTTCAGTGTAGTTATTGTGGAGATAGCTTTACCAGTCAAGATACCTTGGATGTACACATTGATACCCATCTATCAGACAAGAAGATCAAATGTCCTATTTGCTTTGAGGAACTTGATAATACTGAAGAACTTCTTCAACATATGGAAGTACATAACGAGTCAATTAGTCATGAAGACAGCTTTGGATCTAATCAGCCATCTTTTCCAGGAAGTGTTTTAGATAAACGAGCTGCTGGAAATGACCTTCTACCTGTTCCAGCTTTGCCCAATGGCGAATCTGGCTTAGATAATCTGGTTTGTCCATATTGCATGAATGGTGGATTTGACACTTTGGAGATTTTAGAGATTCACATGCAGAGTGTTCATTCAGTCAAGTCCACCGAAATCTATACATGTAACTACTGTAATGCACCTTACCCAAATCTGTACAGTTTGCATTCTCATATGAACGTTGTTCACAGCAACCAACCTTGTCTGGACATTAAATACCCATGTAGTCACTGTACTGAACAATTCTCGAGCATTGATGCTCTCTACAATCATAAGAAAAAGCATCAAAATAAGAACAACAAAGAACAAGGACAAGAAAACCATTGTGGACCATGTGCCACTGTGTTTCCTGATAGAAAGACTCTAGAAGAACATAAGCGCAATTTTCATCCTTTGAAGTTGGAAAATGGCTTAGGTGATCAGAAGCTCTTGGATGAAAAGCCAATAATGGGACCTTTCAAAGATATCAGAAATGACATGAAAATCCCGAATGACAGAAACAGTGATAAATCAGAAAACACAACCTGTGATCATTGTAATGCCACTTTTAACGATGCTCATAACTACCAATCTCATATGAAACTTCACATGGACTCCTTCCTCTATTCTTGTCATCAATGTAAACAGCAGTTTCCTACTGAGGAACAACTGGAAAGCCATTCAGCAATGCACTACTTGTCACTGACCACAGAATATGGTTGTACCAGTTGCATGAAGCTGTTTACTAAACCTGATGAACTGCAGAAACATCTTTTGGATATCCATGCTCATCACTTGTACCGCTGCTCTCTTTGTAAGGAAATCTTTGATTCTAAGGTCAACATTCAAGTTCACTTTGCTATTAAACACAGTAATGAGTGCAAATTATATAAATGTACCCAATGCCAGAATATTTTTAGATCAGAAATGGAATGGCAGGTTCATGTTCGAGTTAATCATCTAAAGATGGCCAAACCATATAGGTGCTTGTTCTGCAAAGAAAGTTTTTCAAACGAGATGGAACTTCAATGTCATTTAACTACCCATAGTAAACCATTTAAATGTCTTATGTGTGATGAATCTTTCCACATTGAGTATATGTTGGATCAACACATGCAGGCAACTCATGGGGAAATGGCTTTGAAGGCCCAAACAGCTGAAACACCAGTGAAAAGTGAGACTAAACAATCACAAAAGGATCCAGAACATGCCAGTCCTATTTTAAGTGCTACATTGAACAGAGCCTGGGAACATCCTTCACCTAGCAAGACAAGTCCTTCACATCCAGCCTGGACAATTCCTAAAACTAGTCCAGTGTCTAATCAACTCTCACCAAATCAAACCAGTTGGACTACTGCAAGCCCTGGTCGTCATACTCCTTGGACATCACCAAGCCCAAGTTCTGCTCCTCCAACTTCTAAGACTCCTCCAAGCAGTATCTGGAAAAATGTTGAGCCTCTCCATATCTGTAACATTTGTGATATGAAATTTAGTGAGATGTCTCTTCTGCATCTTCATAAGCTCCAAGACCATGGTTTGAAAACATCTAAACAAGCCCATTTATCCAGTATCCTTTCATCACCATCTGATAAACTACCTGCACTGCCTCCTAACCTTATACCACCAACAGCAGAAAAACCAACCTCATCTTGTACCTTCTGTAGTCAAATCTTCAAGAATAAAAATGAATATGAAAAACACATGAAAATTCACATCAATAATGGTAATCTGAAATGCAACATTTGTGATGAAGTTTTCCCAACTCCGGATATTTTAGGTGAACACAAACTTCAACATTGTAAAATACAACAAGGCAATGCTTGTGTGGTTTGTAAACTGGGCTTGAAAACAGAAGAACAATTTTATGTTCATTCTCAAGAGCATGGTTACCAAGGCTCACTTCTTCAATGTATAGTTTGTCGTCAGTCTCTTGCTTCATTAATGGAACTTCAAATGCATGGAAAGCATCATTTTCAAAACAAACAAAACTTCTCTACTTGTTGTGTGTGCTTAAAAAGTTTTGACTCAAAAGAGAATTTGGTTTCCAAGCTCAACTCTACTGGAAGAACATATTATGTCTGTAAACCATGCTATCATGGAGAGAGTGCTGAATACAAGTGTACCAAATGCAACCAGAAATTTTCATCAAGTTCCCAGTTGGACATCCACATGCAGACTCATCAACAACAATCTTTTCAGTGTATAAAATGTCAACAAAGTTTCAATTCGGAATATGAGATTCAACTCCATGTGGCTACCCATATGATGCAGGAGGGAGTTATTCATGAATGTAAACTCTGCTTAAATAAATTTGACTCTCCTGCTAAACTCCAATGTCATTTAATAGAGCACACTTATGAAAATAACTCTGAAATAATTTGCTGTGTGTGTTTCAAATTGTTTAGCTCTGCCTCAGAGATGCAAGGACACGCTTTGGAACATGGTGTCTCTGCAAGAAAATATCCCTGCAGAAAATGTGAACAAAAGTTCTTCTTTAGTGCTGAATTGGAAAATCATTGCTTGACTGAAGGTCATTCATCAAACACTGACGGGTTAGAGTGTCCTGAATGTCATAAAGTCTTCAGCAGTAATGTCAATATGATGAACCATCGCAGAATCCATGAAAAGAAAGAAAATGTGATAAAGTGTCTGCTCTGTAAGGAAATGTTCACCACAGTGTTTGCCATGCAACAACATTTTTTCAGCAGTCATTCTCGGGGAGAAATTGAAAAGGAAAATAAAGTATTTCAATGTAGTGAATGTGATCAAGAATTTCCATGTTTAAGTAATCTACAAGGTCATCTACGCAGCCACAAACCAGGTGAGTTCATGATTTTATTTGATTGACATCTACATGAAACTAATCTTAATATTTCGATACAAATAATGGATTCTACACTACACTCTGAGGAAATTCAACCCTGTATTAATTTTTTCTGTCATTTTTGGTCCATAGAAATATTTCCAAATAATAACAATCACAAACTAGAAGACCCTTGGTGGTATTTTTGTGTACTCCGACAATCGGACTAATCCAACATTGTTTAAGGTTAATGTACATGTTATATTGTACAGAGAATACTGTATATTTCAATTCATACAAAAATGATGGTAACATATTGCAATTGTGGTTAATTCTGTGTACATTTTTGTATATATGAGAAGCAAAATGTTTGGTTACAATATCCAGAAATGACCACAAGAACATGTATTATTTCTGAGCATCATTCCATACTGCAGAAGTATTCACAAATATAATAATTTGACTGTTTATTTGTAGGTAACCAGTTTCCGTGTCCTGTATGTAATAAAATGTTTGCTTTAGCTAGAAATTTAACTATACACATGAGGTCTCATAGTGGAGAAAAACCATATGAATGTCCCATCTGTAATAAAAGGTTTTCTAGTAAGTATAGCTTGTTCAAATACATCTTCTGATGATGCTATATAATATAACATAGACTTATATTTGGTATTGAATGATATAAGCAAAACTGGAGTGTTCAGTAGCGTAGGGAAGGCTTTGTTGACAGACGGTGCCATCCAAGCTCCCCTGGTGTCCCTTTGCAGATTTTACAGGGCCTAAATACATCCCTGGGTGTGGATCAAATTTGAAACCTATTCAGTATTCTATTATGGACTTTCATCAAAATATAGATAAAAAAAAAAAATCATGGCTCCCAATTGCTTTGTGGGAAACTTATGTCTAACAATACTACAAAAGGATGTTGTATGTTGCTCTGTTTTGACCATAGCCTATGTTCTTGTTTAAATGTCTATGATATTTGTGTTTTTAGGAAAGGAAAACCGAAAGCATCATATGAAATCACATAATTCTACTAAACCATTTATTTGTCCAGTTTGTGGGAAAACTTTCACCAGGAAATGTCATATAAAAGAACACATGAGAGTCCATTATTCACAGGTAAGTCATTTACTGTCAAGTTCATGAGATTCAATTAGTTGACGAAAGAAATGAGAAAGAACAATTATTGAGCTTGTGTTTGGAGACATTGTACTTTCAGGATGAGCCAATATGCAGGCAGCAAAAGTCATGAATTGACCTCAGCTGTATATTTATGGGCATTTGGATCATTGTTTGTTAATCACCAATAAAACAATTAAAGGGACAGTTGCAGCATTTTGGGGGGTTAATTTTAGCCTTGAATATATGTTAATAGTCTTCAGAAGTACTAGAAATGTACGCAAATCACCTAATTCCTTCAAAAATATTTGAAACTAGGAATTTCACTCACTATTTCTATATATATCTTTTCTATATATCACAGAGTATCTTAAATTGACGAGTCGTCATTTTAACATTCAAACGTGGATAATTCTTGACACACATGGATTTGAAGGTTCAAATTTTGACAATGAGCTGTTAACACTATTACTGATTGGCTAAGCTTAAGAATTCTCATTTCTAAGACTAGAGTATGATTGGTCCAAAAAAAAATGATGCATGTTTCCCTTTAATATCACTCCAGTACCAATTTTAGTTATAAATTCATTGTCTGGCTGACTAACAAAGTTCACCAATATGAATGACCATGTTGTTTAAGTAATTATAGAATATATCTTATCTTATAGGATAGTAGTATGAAATTAGAACTTAGTAATATAGATATAGATCTACCTAGTGATACTAGTGAGGAGACCAGTTTAAATGGTTTTATAGCCAGTGAAGATTTATCAGATGTTGATGACAATGAACAAACCAATGGACACGATGTCCGAGAAGATTTGGACATTCCTTGTAAAAAGATTAAAATAGAACCTGTGTCTTAAACTTTGAACAATTTTACTCTGTAAATTATTGTAAACTAAACTATTTATGTGCAATTGGTATTGAATTCTTACAATGTTTTCTGTAGCCATGACAACTTGAGAACTTAAACATTCATCTTTGTTGGTGTTGCTTTTGTGATAGTGTACGAGCACCCTTAAAAGAGTAATCCAAACAACTACCGGCTTGATTAACCTAAGAGAGTACGAATCCAGCTCTCAATCCACTAAGCTTTTAAGTGTTGAGATAAATTTTCGTTTGGCCAAATGCAGGAAATAGCTCGTTCAGATGGGAAAACGGACGCCCAGTGTGCTACAAGTTAAAGATCCCTTGACAGTTGGAAATAGAAAGAGAGTAAGCTAATCATGTTGTCCTGAAAAGTTACCCTCATAGCCAGTCCGAATTAGCCCAAACAGAAAGAGAAAAGTAGGAAGTAAAACTCTATTTCCATTTAATTCCACAAATTAGCGATTGTGTCTGGAACTTTGAAGATCGGTCCGATATGTGGCCTACACTTTCATGTAAAATTATATATTGTAATTGTTAAAAGGAATTAAGTGCTGAATGTCAAAGGTGATCTCTGTATTTCATTATAATTTGATGTTTGTATTTTTGTACCAGAAATTTAGAAAATTACCACCACAAATTCCTTATATTTATATTAGTGCTATTTTTGTGGACAGTGTTTGTATGTTATAATTATTGAGACACAAATGATTAATGTTTCCACATCTGTTTTTGAAATAATCTATTGTAAGCTTGTTATGTATTGAAAATATAAGTTATAATTATCATTAGTTCCTCTGAATATACAGTAATATAAATATTTTATATACCATCCTCAACATGTGCTATCTATTGCAAGAAAACCAAAACCTTTAAAGTTTGATTCTGAAAAGCAATATGACAGAGCTACAGTTTAAACGGTTATTTAGCATTAATGTGTAATGCTTATCTGACATTAAGCACAAGTGCATTTAGGTTTAGAACATCCCAGAACATTTTTATACCCCCACATCTCTCTAGGTGGACGTATATTGTCGGCACCCCTGTGCATCCGTCCGTCAACATTTGCTTGTAAACACCCTTAAAAACGACATTTTTTGATGGAATCAAATGAAATTCGGTATGTGTATACATATTCATAAAACGAAGATCAAGTTCGAATTTGAGCTATTTTCGACCGTTAGAAGCAGAGATATCGCCCTTGCCCCAAAATCTTGAATATGCTATTATTCTCTTAGTTTTCAACCAATTTTGATTACCAAACTTTCGTTTTTACCAGACGCATGCCGTGGTGGGCGTATATCGCTGTGTCCACTATCTTTTTATCTGTACATAAGCCACAATAGAGGACAGCCATGATGTCATAGAGGTGGTTTGCATATCACATTATGCACAACTTTTAACAGTTGTAAGAATGGTTTGTCCAACCGATTCTCCTACTCAAGTCATGTATTTTATTTTTAGCAAAGCTGATTTCTCCTATTGAGTACAGATATATATGAAAGCTGCCTCCATGTAGTAAAGTACAAATCTAGATATGATTTCGAAACCTACTCAATAGTAATTTGCACTATACTAACCAGATTTGTATTATGTCCATAACAAACTGTCTCATCTGAAAATTTAGTGTACTGTACATGTGCAAATTTTGAATCCCTGTGCAAAAAAATTTTTGCTTTACTTGTGGCTTGAAGTCTTCAACCCTGATATCTTCATTTGTGTTCAAATTTGGAAAAAAATAACAAAATATAATCATTTAATGATACTTTTCATACATAAATCAATAACAAAAAATGAGCGTATGCAGTAAATAAAAATAATATATGAATTGAACTAACACTTGCAGTACATATCATTAATCATCTTCAAAATGTCAAGCTATTACAAACTATTACGTCTACCTTGACTGCAATAGCCTCCTTTTATGTATCACGGAATGCAGCGATTTGACAGGATTGTACTTGACATAAAGACTGTAAAAATGATGGATTATGACTTTCTCATGAACGATCTGATTTCTTCAGTAGAGTACAATCCTGTCAAATTTTTGCATTTACAAACTTTCAGGATATAAGGAAGGTGGCTATTGCAGTCAAGGTATAAGATGCAGCTAGTTATAACTTGACATGGTGAAGATGGTCATTGATATCAACAGAAATGTTAAAGCAAGTGAGATTTTAGCAATACATAATATGTATATTATACTGTATTATCAAATATAATGCACCCCCTTTCCTAACCTCATGGAAATTTTTCACTGATTATAATATGAACCCTGTCCAGACAAAAATGTTAACAAGATAGCATACAAAATATAAGCATCATGGCATATCAAAATGTTGTGTCTGCCCAAGTTAGATTATACTTGATATTTTCAAAATATATGTAGACAAGCGACATAAAATGCAACATTTAGAAAAAGTTTAAAGATGGGTTTCCTTATATTTTAATGTATAATTAAGCAAACTATTTGAATAATTGGTGTTTCTAATGAATTATCATGTATTCTTTATCATATCATTATGTTCTGATTGCATATAATTTATTGCATATAGTTTTAACCAAACATAAATGTCCATGTATGTACAGTCTGGATAAACAAAAAAGACTTTTTGACCTTTCTTGATCGGCCACTCATTGGAATTCTGCTGGTAATTCTCGTCTAATTGAGCTAATTATGAATTAATCATTGAAATGTGAGACAAACTGGTATTTTTCCAAGCTTTTAGAACACCTCTGCTCTCTATACATATAAGTATTACCATTTTCATTTTCATGAATGAAAATAAGGGAACCCATCTTTAATACATAAATCTGAAATTCCATTAAAATTTTCTAAATAACAATACTATCAACTTTTCTGGATAACATTACTACCAACTTTTCTGAATAACAATACCATCAACTTTTTTAAATAACAATACTACCAACTTTTCTGAATAAAACTACTATCAATACTACCAAACTTTCTTGAATAACAATACTATTAACATTTTTTGGATAACAATACTACCGACTTTTCTGGATAAAATTACAATCAAACTTTTCTGAATAACAATACCATCAACTTTTCTGGATAACATTACTACCAACTTTTCTGAATAAAAATACTATCAATACTACCAAACTTTCTTGAATAACAATACTATCAACTTTTTTTGGATAACAATACCATCAACTTTTCTGAATAACAATACCATCAAACTTCCCGAATAACAATACTACCAACTTTTCTGAATAACAATACTATCAAACTTCCCGATTAACAATACTACCAACTTTTCTGAATAACAATACTATCAAACTTCCGGTATAACAATATTACCAACTTTTCTGAATAACAATGCTATCAAACTTACCGAATAACAATACTACCAACTTTTCTGAATAACAATACTATCAAACTTCCCGTATAACAATATTACCAACTTTTCTGAATAACAATGCTATCAAACTTACCGAATAACAATACTACCAACTTTTCTGAATAACAATAATATCAAACTTCCTGAATAACAATACTATCAAACTTCCCGTATAACAATATTACCAACTTTTCTGAATAACAATACTATCAAACTAACTATACATAAAGGGAGACAACTCCTTAATTGAAGGCTATAATCTGTGAAACATAATAGAATAAAATGCAAAAAATTATTTAAAGTGTTTTCAGAATTAAGAAAAAGCGTGTTAAGTTACATAAAATATTGCTCAGAAAAAAATATCCACATTGTACAAAGGTATCAGTAATGATCTGTAGATACTTCTATATCTCGTCCTTGGCCAACCCTATTGGCAATGGTGTATCTGTCATACAAACAGAAAGTCAAAGCTTGTTTGTTGAGATTAAATCATTTTCCAAGTTTTTGATCTCTCTAACCTGAAATGCTCAAATGAACACGATACAAAACTTGCTAGATTAATGTTAACTTAAGCTCGAATGATCATTCATGATTTGTGTGTCTCGTCTCATTCTATCTACTTCTTACTACTACTATGACATGATTAAGGTCTTCTAAAACTTCCAAACTGTTTCTTCTTCAGGATGATCTTCTAGCTGGCACATAAATTTCACCTCTTCTGTAAGGAGAAAAAAAAATAACACTGATTTTAAGCCAAATTGACAGGAATATGTAGGATAATTGGAATAGTTTTGATGAAACTTCAATTAGCTATTTATATGATCCTAGTGTGACATCCTCAAAATGAGATGCTTTCTTTAATAGTTATAGCTGCTAGGCTGCCTTTTGGGAGAAACATTGTTAAAAACAGCCTTTTTTGTAACTTCTTTCAACAAAATAATACTGTTAAGTGTTGATGGCAGTAATATGTTGATATAAACCTTCTACTTTGTCTTTCATCGAGATATTTTAACAGTTGTTTCTCAGTATCTTGAAATTGTCGTTTCATATCTTCAGAAATTGATAATGAGGCACAATGATTTCTCAATTCTTCTATCATCTTAAACACATTCTTTTCTTCATTATCCTGTGAAAATAGCATTGATGCAAGTGATTGTTGAAATTGGATTGGTATCAGTGGGTGAAAGCCAGACTGAATCTTAGAAGCACTGGCATAGGCATCAGAATTTGATTATAATTATGAATAATGCTGGTATGATATATAGAAGTATTGCGATAAGACACGCCCCAATATGTGTATCATATCGCTACGTTGTGTATCAATATTTGATGATACCCATACCTTAACACTTTGATAAATTATGGCAGAACAGTTTATTTTTAAACCTCGATACCTTAAATTCAAACCTGTTCCTAGTTCATATATATTTTCTTAACAATAAAATTTTGCATGGAAGGAGAAGGTGGGGAGAATTTTTAAGGGCTGTTAATTAAAGGGACACTCTGAATAAAGGTGTTCTGATTACATACAAGGTGGTCTACAAGGTGTAGAAGTTTGACTGACGTCAACTTACCACTGGATTTCTCAGATCTATATGCACCAATAAGTGTGATAATTCATTTCTTTCACTGTACATATTGTGTAATGGAACACATCTATAACCTAAATAACATAAAGACATACCATTGCTATAAGCATTTAGAGTTGAATTTAAAGGAACAGCTGCCATTGTTTTTGATCAATCATACTTTACGAGAATTTTTTAGCTAAGCCATTCAATAATAGTGTTCACAGCTCACTGTCAAAATTTGTGCTTTCAAATCCATGTGTGTTCAGAATTATCTGCGTTTGAATGATACAATGATTCCAGGAGACCTAGCTGTAAAAGGGGACAGATAATCTGGAAATATTGATCCTAGGAGGTTTGGCCAACATACTGCTTGTAGAAAAGATCCAGATGAACTTAAGTTTCTATCCTTGTAAAAAATGGTAAATTGGTCAAGAACAAAAATAGATGTGGTCTATATACGTATATAATTTGCCCCCAAGAACACTTCTGAAAGTGTAGACATGAGAATAAGTTCTACTTGTCCAACTTCAGTAGAGTCGCAGACTGAATTATATCGGTGAGTTGTCTTAAGATCGCATAGCATGAAACTTTGAGTAACAACGAACATGTTTTTTTAGGTTCTGTTTTAATATTTCTACATATATATAATTGTATGATTTTCAAACTTACCTTCTCTTAAACCTTTAAGTGGGTATGTTGCTTGGGCATAAATTGTCTTGGACTTTTCCAAACTTTCATCTAAGATTTCAAATCTGAGAAACGCCAAATCTGGGAAGGTTACATCAAATACAAATAACTGATTTTCCCATATTGGACATAGAGTTGTTCCTTCTGTTAACGAAAAATAAAGTTTGAGCTTGAAATATTTTACTAACATCTACATATCACCTATCAGTGATGGAGCTTGGAGGGATTTATATGGAAAAAGCATCTTTAGGATGGGACAATAAACTGAGGCTTATATGCTATAGCCTGTGCACTTTAGTGCAAAATAGAAAAAAAAGTAGGCTAATGCAGTTGTCCTGGCATAATTTCCCTTCCTGTGCAGTGTATGGCATTGCCAAATCAGGTGCTGAAGAGTAGGATGTAAAACTTAAAAAATATTAAAACTTTGTGAAGATGACAACTCATGCATTGGATTTCATTTCACTTTCATAGTATGATCAAACATCAACATACGCGTCTTAAGAGCTTGCAAAAATATGGTATTGGTAAGAATTGAAGTCAACTATTGTCTGAGCAAAGTAAAAAGTATTTTGAATTTTTCCCATTATTTTTATGAGAATTGGAATAGCAGTCTCAAAATACTACTGCTAGTCTTAGAATGTCTTTGATATGATAAAAACATCAACATAAGCACACATTAGGTCTTCAAAATTTGTTTTTACAGAGGATGATTTTCAGCCTAAATTTGAGACTTTGTAGTTGAAATATGTAGGAGGCAAATGTGTTTCTTTTCAATGTTAACTAACAAAAGGTTATACGTTTATTAATGCAAAGACATTCTAAGACTATCAGTACTATTTTGAGGCCAATATACCTCTTCTCTTCGAAATATAAAAAAAAATCAAAAAACTTTTTAATTTGCTCAGACAATAAGCCAAGTTCACTATGCTATAACTTACTAGCTACACTTGTTCTAACTCTTTGTTTATCTAATGGTAATCCTAATATTTCTACACCAACAAATGGATTACCAGTAGCTCCTGTTCTACCACCATAACAGTTTCTACCAGCTATTATCTGTAATATATATGGCATATATTAGACTAGATCATTATAAATTGAGAAGCACATTAAACATTGCAATCTGCATTAACAAAAGACATGATACTATATCATAGCAAAATGATTCGCCCAAATCACCTTATTATTCACTTCAAAATATTCATATGATTGCAGGCATTTATCTTTTGTAGTGTTTTAGTTCAGGTTTAAATTGTGTTTTAGGATATCCTTTTTCATTGTGCACTGCAGGGTGTTGCCAGTCTTCACAAGCCCAATAATCAGAAAGAAAAAGTGAAACATTCAGATAAGGATATTTACTAAAAATTGTTCCTTATTCTTAACCCTCTGAACACTGATTTGAATGGAGTTTTATGTCCTACTTTTCTGCACCATGTGGGCTAATGAAGACAGGCAATGCCATGCACGGTGCAATGAGGGCAATTTTGCCAGGACAGCGGTATAAGCCTGCTCATTTTTTATTTCCATCTTTAAGAGATCTTTAACGTGCACAGCCTGTGGTATTGGTTTATTGTCCCATCCGAATGCCTATACGCTTTTTTCATGTCACCAGCAGAAGCCTGGTGTCATCTCAACCTATGCTGTGATTGAACCCTGGACCTTCAGGTTAACGACCAAGCGTTTAACGCACTGAGCCAGCGCGGCTCTCTCACTTGGTAATACTTGCATGGATGTGGATGGTAGAGGACCTGTTGAAAGGATTAACTGACTGACCACTGTCAAACAAGTCAAACCACTGGCTAAAGAGTTAGCAAGTGTTGTTGCTATGTTAACATCAAGTACTAGTAATGTAAAACTTACCGACATATATAAACTAACTGGTTGTACTGAACTAAATGATGACATGTTATATGGTGAATATTTTGGACTGGACATACATTGAGGTTTTAATACATAACCACATCTACAATATATAAGTTTCAACATGTTTCTTATGATCTTATCATTTGCAACATCTCATATTTACACTAAATTACATATCCCCTTGAATTAATTCACTTAAAGGGACAGATGCGCAATTTTGGGAGGTTGATTTGAGTCCTGAATAAATGTAAATAGTCTTCAGAAGTACTAAAAATGTATGAATTCCTTTAAAAATACTTCAAACTAGGAATTTTAACATTCAAATGTGGATAATTTTGGACACATATGGATTTGAATTCTCACATTTCGACTGTAGGCCTAAGCTGTGAACACTATTACTGATTGGCTTAGCTAAAAAAAATCGGTTTCTGAGACGAAAGTATGATTGGTTTAAAAAAAAATAGGTAAACTAACTAGAACTAGAATGATGCTAAACACACAGTTTTTACCTTTGGTTTCTCAGAAATAGAGCATGATTAATTTGTTGATATCTATCTGGTGTTTGATAGTTTAATGCTATCAATTGTGCACCAACACTCCACATTGGTATTGGATCATAATTAGCTGACAATAATTTGAGACCAAACGGATAAACACGACTAATCTGTCTTTGGTTATACCTATATAAACAATAACATTGATAGCAGTGTCTTGTACAGCACTAATATTTAATGATAATCAAAGAGCATAAGACATTATAAACAATGTTTCGTTTCATGATGTTTTGATATAATATAATACTGAGAGTTATTAATTTGTACATAATTTGCTTTCCAAAATGGCAACTAAAAGGAATTGCAAAGAGGTTTTCTAAATTTTTTTAATGCATATTGGGGACACTGATAGCATCAATTTGCACCATTCCAATTTTCAATTGAAACGTTTAGTTTTAGTGGAATTACTAGAGCCCCAGACGTCTGATAGAAAATTAGAAAAATTTAGAAAACCTCTTTACAATCCCTTTATGTTTGGGTCACATGATTGCAAACAGTTTCCCTTTGAAATCAGGATCTTATCTTTCTCAGAATTTGTTCTAAAGGGAATAAAAGATGTTAATTTTAAGTTTGATAACTGACCTGGTAATAATACTGACTCGCTCTTTAGTAAAATACTGTTTGATCTGATTTTCAGAAAATGATGACATTTCAGCAATTTTTGCACCAAGACCTGTAAATTTATCAATAAATATACTTCTTTTCCTAAACTAGTGGCAGAGATTAGAGTTGGTTGAAAGGTAACAAGTTACTATTCAACAGAAAGCACTAATGGCACAGGGTTCGAGCAGTGTTTGGAAACAAAAGATTTGAACTAAAGTCACGTCTGCTCCTCAGCAAGCTCGATGTGATTTCTGTAAACTTACCATCATCTTGAAATCTTACAGATTGACAATAAATAATTAGATCGGATAATTCTTTAGCTCTTCCTTGTACCATTTCTTCCTTCTTTTGTTGTTCTTGCTGCAAAAAGAAGGAAATCTTATTATAGCATGGACCACACAAATGGAGTTGGATCCTTTCTTAAAATATTTTGAATATTTTGTATTTGCAGATGTTTGTTAATTTTCTCATTTTGTCACCCTGTATATAATTGATAATGTTGTAGACCAAAACTTCTGCCTCTATTCCAGCATAGTTGAAAATCTTCATAAGACGGGTCCTATTTATTCTGACTCTACTCCAGCTGACAACTGTCAGAATAGCCCTAACCTCCCAAAACATCAAAACTAAAAGCAAATAGGTATGTATAAGTATATAAAACTTATGAAATCCCCCCTCCCCCTCCTTTTCAATATTCAAGTATGTTTTTAAATGACTGATATTGAGTGAGTAGTATTTACCGTAACAGTAATTTGCATGAAGACATATATAGAAAAGACATTCATAGAAATAGTGAGTAAAATTCCTAGTTTGAAGTATTTGACCAAAATGCTGCATCCTTCTTCGGATTTACAATTAAAAGAAAATCATACCCATCAAACATCCTTCTAACTTTAACCTCAGTTCTTCCGTTTTCTTCTCTACTTCATTCTCAATATCTAGTATTTCCACATAGTTGGCCGGAAATAATAAATTTTCACCATCACCATGGTTACCTCTCCACCTTGAAACAACCAAAAATGGATGACAACTAATGATTTAGGTTATTGAAAAAGTATCGTATGAATATCAAACCCAATGACTTCTAAGACTCAAAATTCGATGATCTTATCACCTATTTTCACTCTGTAACTTGGATTGTCAACTCCGATAGCTTTCAGAGAGATTACTGAACCAATATCAATATTTTGGTATTTTTTGTGTTAACAACATATTAGATTTCTGCTTCTAGTGCACTGTATTAAATACTGTGACAGGTGTCACTAACAAGGAGGGGAATGTTTAAGTTACTCCTACTGCCACTCTGAGACTGAGTTTACCAACATGTCATACCTTTTGGAGAGTCCACAAATCTATTAATGTTATGTGTTATATTTATCATTGAACACTTTGGTCAGTATGAGATTTTCATTATCCACAAATCAATTCAAATTTGATATTTTTTGAGGAAAATGTAAATTTTTCTATGGATTCTAGGATTATTGTAATAGTTGTTTGTGTAAATGAAATTGTATTTGATTAGACTGAAAATGAAACTTGTTGTGACCAATTGTTTATCACAATTTTCAGAGAAATTTAAACCCATCTGTACAATATCCATTAGATCATCTTCAAATATAGAAGACTTTAAATCCAAATTTAATACACACTTGTTTGGTTGTTAGGATTAGATTTACTGTGAATAAAGCTTGTGGAAGACACGTGTCAGCGCTTTGAGCACTCTCCATGTAGAGTGGATTTCAGCGCTTTATATATACAATTATTATTATTATTATGATATACTGACCATGGAGAATCTTCCTCAGTAACATTGGTAATAATAGCACCACGTCTAAATGATAGCTGAGTCTGGTCACCAATAAAATCATACAGTGCTCGTACTTTTATCTGTGAAATATATGAAATTATCTTACTGCATAATTATCTAATATTATCTAAATGCATAATGTTACCTTCTATTTTGATTGAAGAATGAAATGTGACACATAGTTTGTCTACTATTAAAAAAAAGGGATGACATTCTGATCAAATTTCTGGTTTTACAGTAGTTTATACTTGTATCTCTACTGATTTTTACAGTTAAAATATTTTTTTTACCTTTTTCTCTTCTACTGTAGCGTCACTGTAAATGTCCTCATATATTTGAGTATCGGCACACTACAAAAATATTTAAAATACCAAGTAGAATGACAGGACATTTTTATTAGCTAGACGATATTTTGCATGCATATCATTACTGTTACCTCTATGGCGTTCGCGTTTTTTGGCAAATACTCAAAAACTGTCCATGAAAAATTTCTTACCAAATTATAATCCAATGCATCTGGAGAAGCAGGTATCTTTAATTTCAAGTTTTTGTACACAGCCCTTTTCGTAAAGAAATCTATCAATTTTTTCATTTGTAGGAATCTGAAGGAACCTAACGCAAACAAACGACCTTCTCTCTCTATTGGGAAATGGCGAATAATTCGATTATGTCTGAAAAAGATAAAATGCCTTCTGTTCATTATTTTTCAATAGTAACATGTTATTCTTCAATAGTAACATGTTTATTCTTCAATAGTAACTTATTATTCTTCAATAGTAACATGTTATTCTTCAATAGTAACATGTTATTCTTCAATAGTAACATGTCATTCTTCAATAGTAAGTAATCATTCTTCAATAGTAACTTGTCAATCTTCAATAGTAACATGTTATTCTTCAATAGTAACTTATTATTCTTCAATAGTAACATGTTATTATTCAATAGTAACTCATTATTCTTCAATAGTAACTTGTTATTCTTCAATAGTAACATGTTATTCTTCAATAGTAACTAATCATTCTTCAATAGTAAGTAATCATTCTTCAATAGTAACTTCTCAATCTTCAATAGTAACATGTTATTCTTCAATAGTAACATGTTACATGTTATGCTTCAATAGTAACATGGTATTCTTCAATAGTAACATGTTATTCTTCAATAGTAACTAATCATTCTTCAATAGTAACTAATCATTCTTCAATAGTAACATGTTATTCTTCAATAGTAACTTGTCATTCTTCAATAGTAACATGTCATTCTTCAATAGTAACTAATCATTCTTCAATAGTAAGTAATCATTCTTCAATAGTAACTTGTCAATCTTTAATAGTAACTTGTCAATCTTTAATAGTAACTTGTCAATCTTCAATAGTAACTTGTCAATCTTCAATAGTAACATGTTATTCTTCAATAGTAACATGTTATTCTTCCATAGTAACATGTTATTCTTCAATAGTAACATGTCATTCTTCAATAGTAACTAATCATTCTTCAATAGTAAGTAATCATTCTTCAATAGTAACATGTTATTCTTCAATAGTAACTAATCATTCTTCAATAGTAACTAATCATTCTTCAATAGTAACTTGTCAATCTTCAATAGTAACTTATCAATCTTCAATAGTAACTTTTTTGTCATTATCATTAATACGGCAATACTTTCCTCTCACACTGGGTTGGAACACTGTTTCGTGGCAGTGGAATAGCTCAGTCGGTGACCAGTTGGATTGTCTTCTACTAGACAATTAGATGCCAAATCCTCGTTGCGGTAAGAAATATTCTGATGCCTGTGCCTGTGCTTTCGAGAGTCGGCCCAGCCCCTAATAACCAATCTCTACTTATCTTTTGATATTTGGGATTGAACTGGGGTTTGTGAAAAGATAAGAATCATACATAACAGACAATTGATAACTTACATCATAGACAGTGAATAGCAATTCTCAACACTGCTGGGACGAATTAAAAAGGTTCCATCTTCTTTGGCAAATTGTAAAGTATAATCAGCTTTTTCCCTGTTTATATCATGGAACCATCTAAAAAAAATAATGGTAAAATAACCCCTGCAAACTACATTACTATGCCTGATTTTGAAAGCATTGAACAAGATAATTCATTGACATATACAACATCAATTCAGTATAGTTGATGATCTGGGCTGGTACTGCTGGCATCTCTTGTTTTGAAAAGGAAATCTTGATCTTTTGCTTCATAGGTCGAGATAATACCTACGGATGTTTCAACCAATTTTCCCCTTGCAGTGATGCAGGGCAGAGCATCTAGTCGTTCGGCTGGGACAATTAATCGGGCCCTGTTTGCTACAAGATGAAGACCTACATGTTAAAGATCCCTTGACAGTTGGAAATCCAAAAAAGAGTACGCTAATGCCGCTGTCTTGACAAAATTTCCCTCATTGCACACTGCAATTAGTTTAATTTCAGAAGATAAGGACGTAAAACTCCATTTCATTTTTCATTTGTTCTTTTGCTTGAGCATTTGGAAATGGAATTTTCTGCATTGGCAGATGAAATAATTAGTTATCTTAAATAGCTCTCTACAGCAATAGTTTTCAATTGCAAGCAGTTTATTTGTGAAAGAGCAGGTACAGTCATGACATTTAGGTGTCTGTGTTATGCCAACCTGTTGATATTTATATCAAGATGTTCTTCAATTGACTCACATTTCATTTTGGAAATCAGGTTTGACTGGAACTGGTGATGATAAATATATAAATTTATTTGGAGTTAAATATAGTGGTTCGGATCTATAATGCTCTATTAATTCTGTTATTGAATCCATCTTTACTGTCTCATTTAAATAATATTGTCCCTTCTCTGTCTGGATACGACAATGGTTACATTTATCATTATTCCTAGAAATATAGTTTAAAATAATGCTGTGAACTTGACAATAGTTTAAATTGGTCTGATATACTTTCTATGAGGATTTTACTTCTGGATAGTGGTATGGTTTTGAAATTGAGTTCTATCAGCTGGTAAAGGAAATTTAGACAACTGTGGATTAAGTGTAATTCATTATCATTTGTGTCATTATCACGCGCTAAGCATGATAGTAACAAAAATAGTGTCATTGGGGAAAATAGTTCCATATTCAACAAGTAATATCGATACAATTATTACATAAGAGTGATTCTTCTGTATTGGTAGAGTAGTATAACAGATGTATGTAATAAAGTTTTATATTGATTGGTACCATGCATGTGTGGAAAAGATCAATCGCGAGTTGAAGGGTGTCAAATAGATGCTGCCCGTCACCAGGAATGAATTGGTGCTGGGGCTCAGATTTTGTACTCAGAAAATTGGGAGAATTAAAGGCCCACAGAACTCATTTCTGAAAATTTATATGTATCTTTTCGATTTTGTACAAGGACACTGTAAATGAACCAATCTCTGCTGAATTGAAGAAAGTTTTGTTTGTCTTAATTCTCACTTGCTGCTGCCCAGCTCCCATGGACCCCACCCAAACAAAGGGGCTGAAAAGATGGCACAATACATCCAGCCTTGAGCGTAGAGCAGTAACAAATATGTCCACAGTAAAAAGTGAAACAAAAATTGAACTTCATACCAAAATGATAAAGTGTATCCATTCTGATTATTATCTCGAACTAAAAATGTTCCTTCCTTCTTGGTTGGAATGTTTTTGATAATTTTTTCAGCTTCTTTATGATTTTCTAAAAAACCGTGGTACCAAGTCTGTATAGTTATATCATCATCATCACCAGAATATATATCCTTTAAACAAAAAACAAATTAATTGGATTTACATACAGATCTAGATGTTTTGTTTTATTTTTTCTGTTGGTTACTAATGCCACCCATGATCTATCTAAACTATTCATTTAAAGGAGCACCTTCACTATCCGTTCGACCAATCATACCTTAGTTTCAGAAACAGGAATTTTTTTAGCTTACATAGTCAGTAATAGTGATCACAACCCATCTTCGAAATTTAAGCCTTCAAAGCCATGAGTATCCATGATTATTCACATTCGAAAGTTGAAACAATGCCATTTATAAAAAACACATTTATAGAAATAGACAGTGAAATTTCTAGATTTAGGGGTATATTTGAATGGATAATGTGATTTTAGAGCGTTTTAATAATTCTTAAGACTATTAAAGCACATTCAAGACCCAAATTAATGCCCCAAAATGCTGACGATTCCCCTTTAACCAGACAATTGACTATTACTGGCAAAAATATCGCATATCACAAACTATGAGCTGTGTGATTCATATAAATCTACTTCCTTTTACAGTTAGATTGTTTGAAAACAAACCTCGTATGGGAAATCATAGATATCATCTTCCTCATCTTCCTCTTCTTCAGGTGGTGAAATTATTAATACTTTATCAGTTAATACCCCAAAATATGGCAACCACATCTATAATTTACAAATAATATTTCTTATTTGCTCATATTATAGTTTTATTGATCTTGAACTCAACTACTAGAGTAAGTAGGTTTATTTTGATTACTGAGTAGTGTTCTTTAATCAAATCATTTAACTGAGTACTTTTAAATACAACTCACTGTCAATTTTCTACTATTATTAGGTTTGATTACTGAGTAGTGTTATTTAATCAAATCATTAAACTGAGTAGTTTTAGATACAACTCACTATCAATTTTCTTTTATAATCAGGTTTGATTACTGAGTAGTGTTCATTAATCAAACCATTAAACTGAGTAGTTTTAAATACAACTCACCATCAATTATCTATTATTATTAGGTTTGATTACTGAGTAGTGTTCATTAATCAAATCATTAAACTCATTAAATACAACTCACTATCAATTTTCTACTATTATTATGTTTGATTACTGAGTAGTGTTCATTAATCAAATCATTAAACTGAGTAGTTTTAGATACAACTCACTATCAATTTTCTACTATTATTATGTATAATTACTGAGTAGTGTTCATTAATCAAATCATTAAACTGAGTAGTTTTAAATACAACTCACTATCAATTTTCTACTATTATTATGTTTGATTACTGAGTAGTGTTCTTTAATCAAATCATTAAACTGAGTAGTTTTAACTCACTATCAACTTTTCTACTATTAATTAAATAAGATAAATTAAGCTACCTGACTGGCTTTGTCTTTCATGTGTAAAACACCACTAACTTTAGCATCATCTTTTCCTAAAAAAAATGATACAATTGTAATCAAATTATATGTCTTACTTCGTTTCACCTTACAATTATTTTCAGAAAATTAGTAGAATAATAATATTAACCTATAAAGGCAAAATATATAATCATTTAACTTTTTAAGAACACAAGTTATACTACTCCCATTTTTATTACATACTACGTTTCGAAACACATACAGGTAAAGTTATCAAGTCTAAATTTTTGCTTACCTTCACAATCAACATCAATGTTTACCAGTTCATACGAACCATCGCGTAACTTTTTATCCTGAATTAAAAACATTTTTTTAATGAATATCAAAATTATGTTCGATTTATATATTTTATGTAAAAAACAAATAATTCAAAGAATATTCAATCAAACTTCAAAGGGACAGGTGTGCAATTTTTTTTTGACCAATCATACTTAAGTCTCAGAAACTAGGAATTTTTAGTTAATCAGTAATAGTATTCACAGCTCACTGTCGAAATTTTAGCCTTCAAATCCAGAATTATCTGTGCTTGAATGTTAAAATGATGACTAGTCAATTTAAGATACTCTGTGATATATAGACTAAAATCAACCCCCCAAAATGGCACACCTGTCCCTTTAAACTCAAACGATTTTTTCATTCACTATTTCAATCACCAGAATTCTACTACGGAAAGTTCCATTTAGTTTCATTTCTTCATCAAAAACTTACTTACCTTTAGAATGATTTTATTTTGAAGTTGGTTTGGTGAAGGTAGTAAACCATTACTAGTTACAATAGGTTCCGTTAACAGTTTGTCTAAAAATAAAGTAAAACCAATATTAATTTTGTTTTCCTTCATACAGCTTTCGGGAGCCATGGTGGCTGAGTGGATTAGACGCTTGCTCGCTTTCCTTTAGGTCCAGGGTTCAATCCCTGAAATGTATGTACATTCTTGATAAACAAAAAAAGACTTTTGTGACAAAAGTTTTTCATACCTCCAAAGATTTCAAGCATCATTTTGGCTATAAGTCTTTGTTGTGGTACACTGCAATGGTTTTCTATTGAAAGTATGACAGGAAATCTATAATTGATAAAAATTGATGAGAAATGTGGTTTTGAGAGTTTCTACCAGTGTAAATCTCAACAAAAAGCAAATTCCTGTAAATGTCAGGAATGCAAGGCACTGAGATGAGTGACATCACAAAGTGTCTAGTCTTCTAGATAGGAAAACAGCATTGCATCAAAACTTGCAAAACCAATGCAAGACAAAAATCTTCTGATTGTTTATCAGGCCCCACTTTGATCTCACATCTAAATTTCAAACTTCAGTTGATAAAGGAAAGGATTGCCAGAGGCCTTCAACAGCCCCTTTCTTAATGATTGATAAAGAAATGTCACTGATTCAGAGAGTTCATATATATGCATGTTCATCTTGTAACATTTTGCAAGGAAACCTATTAGTACATTTTAGAATAGTGTTCATCAAATAACAAAAAACATACTTAGAAGTTTTGAAGGCATTTTCATTGATAATACACAAGACATCTACCAGTCTTACTTTACTTGTTAATGATTTACCATGAAATATAATAGGATTTCCGTCACTACCATTCCAACAATCCACTAAAATATCAAATATACAAAATCTCAAAAATATATCTGGTCATAGAGTTATAATAGTTAAAGCCTGTTGTCCATTGAAAATGCATTTGATTTTAAAAACAAATACATCAGAACTATACATAATTCTTAATACATTATTTGTGACAGGCCTACAGAGTTATGTAACATTACAGATCATGGATTTTTCACGTAACATGTGTAGCATATCATATGTTGTTGACATCCAACATATAGTATTTGATCTCTGATATATTTTTGTAATTGATCTCCACCATACAGCATAATAATACAAGTACAAGTATTTGATCTGTAATATGTAACATTAGTACTAAAGAAGAACTTTCACATGCATAAGTAACTTGTAATCTTGAGTTAACAGTTAGTAGAAATAAATTTTAAAAAAAATAATAAACCAACATTCAACACATCTACAGCCCATCTGTAAACATCTAGCATATGGTTCTACTGAAGATTCACTGGACATCTGATTACCAGTTAAATATCTGAAAAAAAAGATACATTTGTAAATCTAAAATGTATGTGATGAAGATAATAAAGCCTTCGAACGCTATGTGATGATACTATCCAATAAGATGATAAAGCCTTACGTGTTATGAGATCACACTATTCAATAAGATGATAAAGACTTACATGTTATGTGATGAAGATATCCAATAAGATGATAAAGATTTATGTGTTATGTGATCACACTATCCAATAAGATGATAAAGACTTACGTGTTATGAGATGAAGCTATCCAATAAGATGATAAAGACTTACGTGTTATGAGATCACACTATTCAATAAGATGATATAAAGACTTACGTGTTATGTGATCACACTATTCAATAAGATGATATAAAGACTTACGTGTTATGTGATCACACTATTCAATAAGATGATAAAGACTTACGTGTTATGTGATCACACTATTCAATAAGATGATAAAGACTTATGTGTTATGTGATGAAGATATTCAATAAGATGATAAAGACTTACATGTTATGTGATGAAGCTATCCAATAAGATGATATAAATACTTACATGTTATGAGATGAAGCTATCCAATAAGATGATATAAAGACTTACATGTTATGTGATCACACTATTCAATAAGATGATAAAGACTTACGTGTTATGTGATGAAGATATTCAATAAGATGATAAAGATTTATGTGTTATGTGATGAAGCTATCCAATAAGATGATATAAATACTTACATGTTATGAGATGAAGCTATCCAATAAGATGATAAAGATTTACATGTTATGAGATGAAGCTATCCAATAAGATGATAAAGATTTACGTGTTATGTGATGAAGCTATCCAATAAGATGATAAAGACTTACGTGTTATGTGATGAAGCTATCCAATAAGATGATATAAAGACTTACGTGATGTGTGATGAAGATATCCAATAAGATGATAAAGATTTATGTGTTATGTGATGAAGCTATCCAATAAGATGATAAAGACACTTACGTGTTATGTGATGAAGATATTCAATAAGATGATAAAGACTTACGTGTTATGTGATGAAGCTATCCAATAAGATGATAAAGACTTACGTGTTATGTGATGAAGCTATCCAATAAGATGATATAAATACTTACATGTTATGAGATGAAGCTATCCAATAAGATGATAAAGATTTACATGTTATGAGATGAAGCTATCCAATAAGATGATATAAATACTTATGTGTTATGTGATGAAGCTATCCAATAAGATGATAAAGACTTACGTGTTATGTGATGAAGCTATCCAATAAGATGATATAAATACTTACATGTTATGAGATGAAGCTATCCAATAAGATGATAAAGATTTACGTGTTATGTGATGAAGCTATCCAATAAGATGATAAAGATTTATGTGTTATGTGATGAAGCTATCCAATAAGATGATAAAGACACTTAAGTGTTATGTGATCACACTATTCAATAAGATGATAAAGACTTACGTGTTATGTGATGAAGCTATCCAATAAGATGATAAAGACACTTAAGTGTTATGTGATCACACTATTCAATAAGATGATATAAAGACTTAGGCTACATGTTATGTGATGAAGATATCCAATAAGATGATAAAGACTTAGGCTACATGTTATGTGATGAAGCTATCCAATAAGATGATAAAGACTTACGTGTTATGTGATGAAGATATCCAATAAGATGATATAAATACTTACGTGTTATGTGATCACACTATTCAATAAGATGATATAAAGACTTAGGCTACATGTTATGTGATGAAGATATCCAATAAGATGATAAAGACTTACGTGTTATGTGATGAAGCTATCCAATAAGATGATATAAATACTTACGTGTTATGTGATGAAGCTATCCAATAAGATGATATAAATACTTACATGTTATGTGATCACACTATTCAATAAGATGATATAAATACTTACGTGTTATGTGATGAAGCTATCCGATAAGATGATAAAGACTTATGTGTTATGTGATGAAGCTATCCAATAAGATGATATAAATACTTACGTGTTATGTGATGAAGCTATCCAATAAGATGATATAAATACTTACGTGTTATGTGATCACACTATTCAATAAGATGATAAAGACTTACGTGTTATGTGATGAAGCTATCCAATAAGATGATAATGGTTGATCCATGTCATCCGTTAATTCATCACTTTGGAAAATTTCGTTCTGGGGTGAAAACAGGAAATCAATAAACTGAAACCAAATTTTGAGCAAAGTAACATAAAATGTACAAATAGAAGGCAAGTTTGAGATTGATAACATAGGCTAATGTTATTGTTGGAATCAAGCAATTTTTTATGACAATATAAAATCATTACTGACCTCCTTTTCTGTAATGTACAGACCACTTCTGAGATAAACTGGATCCTGCACAAATTTAAGCATCATCTTTCTGGCTTCCTCTGGATTTGAATCAATCTGAAATGAATAGTTTTCAAATCAAAATTTTATTGTCAGAGGTTTTGAGTAATTTTTCCAGCAATGATAAAAATGATATTGATCCTAACTTATCATTCATTACCTTTTGTTCTTCTTTAAAAAATGATCTGATTGTTTCAAATCCAATTGTTCTTTCATCTTCACTATACTCATTAGAAGGGAAATATTTCTCAAATTGTACATCCAATAACTGAAAAACAACACAAAATCTTTCTCAAATTTTATATACAATAATTGAAAAACAACACAAAATCTTTCTCAAATTGTATATACAATAATTGAAAAACAACACAAAATCTTTCTCAAATTGTATATACAATAATTGAAAAACAACACAAAATCTTTCTCAAATTGTATATGTAATAATTGAAAAACAACACAAAATATTTCTCAAATTGTATATACAATAATTGAAAAACAACACAAAATCTTTCTCAAATTGTATATGTAATAATTGAAAAACAACACAAAATCTTTCTCAAATTTTATATACAATAATTGAAAAACAACACAAAATCTTTCTCAAATTGTATATACAATAATTGAAAAACAACACAAAATATTTCTCAAATTTTATATACAATAATTGAAAAACAACACAAAATCTTTCTCAAATTGTATATACAATAATTGAAAAACAACACAAAATCTTTCTCAAATTGTATATACAATAATTGAAAAACAACACAAAATCTTTCTCAAATTGTATATACAATAATTGAAAAACAACACAAAATCTTTCTCAAATTGTGTATGTAATAATTGAAAAACAACACAAAATCTTTCTCAAATTGTATATTCAATAATTGAAAAACAAATTATATATGCAGTAATTGATTGTTAACAAAAAATTGTTTTCATTCAATTTTTTGAATGTGTATCTTGAATGACATAATTATAAATGCACTTATACAAAATCTTGCTTCAATGCTTTTCGGTGTAATCTTTCACTGATGTAGTGTTTCACTCCATCCTTTATTGTCAAAACTTCTGCATAGAGTACAAACTATATAACTTGATTACCCTAATGAATCTTACTTACAGATTTAGGTTGTAAAAATTCATAAAATAACAAACAGAACTCTGGAAAGGACAGTTGATCATTTAACTTTAATCTCTAAAATAGATGCATTTCAAATTGGATAAGATCAAACCTGGTTTGTTTTATATTTTTGATAGTGACAGAGACACTACATTTGATAGTGACAGAGACTCAACATTTGATAGTGACAGAGACTCAACATTGATAGTGACAGAGACTCTTCATTTGATAGTGATAGAGACTTTTCATTTGATAGTGACAGACTCTTCATATGATAATGACAGATGCTACATTTGATAGTGACAGAGACTCTTCATTTGATAATGACAGAGACTCCACTCTTATTTGATAGTGACAGAGATGCTACATTTGATAGTGATAGAGATGCTACATTTGATAATGACAGAGACTCTTCATTTCATAGTGACAGAGATGCAACATTTGATAGTGACAGAGACGCTACATAAGGACTCTCTAAATAAGGACTCTCTAAATATTGCCTCACCAGCTCAATATAGGTAGGTCTAAAACTTGGACCTAACAGGACCTGGCCAAATTGGTGGTCACTGGTAGGTGCGAGTATTTGACTTCATTCTTAACGAGAGCAGACAGAAAGGAGTAAACACAATCGATTGTATTATGTGACATGAATTCAACTCACCTTGACAAAATATTTAAAATCTTTAGACTTGATTTTACAATTAATTCTTGCTAACCATGCCTTGACTACTTTCAGATTTACCCTAAAATCAGAACTGAAGATCTTAGCTTGTGAGATAGGGGAGCTGGGTGTAATCACATTTTTAGCAAATTCACATTTTGCTCTCTTTGTTCTACGACTAAAGAGCATTCACTAATCTAATCTAATGAATTGAAGCAAAATTCGTTATTCTTCGATCAGTAATTATACTACAATTGAAACTAAAAACGCTGATATTTTCCAATTTAAAGACTTCCATGAACTTATATATTATGGCCTTAAAAATGACCTTGATATACAACCAGGAAGCAAGTTTCGCGAGAAGCATATTATATTTTAACAAAAGAATCAAGATTTCACGGCCCTGCTCTTACCTCACGCGATCTTTCTTTTCAGTAGAATAACAATACAAAGCATAGTCGCCTGGTTTTAATGCGTTGTGAAATTGTTTACAAATCCATCTGAAATATGAAAAAAATGTTTTAGATCACTTCACTCGAAAACCTCCTAAATGCGAATGATGTTACTTCTTGCATCAAAGCTATCATGCAAATTCTGTTCGCGAGTAATTTCAACGACTTTAAAGATATTAATAATTTCAAGATATGTTACCTATCCTTATGATCTATGTAAACAGAATCTTTGATTTGTTGTAACACTGTGACCAAACCATCAAAAATTATCTTAAAACTCTTCTCATCTCTTGCTGAAGACACAAATTTAGACACTCTGTGAAAAAAGGCATGTATCATAAGATTTTTTCTTACAATCAGCTGACTGTTGTGGGATAGTCAAAATATCAATCTGCTATCAGGTTATTGGCTACTGCTATCATCTGGATGGTCGGAAATTCCACGACAAGATCCGGTCAACTGTCCAGTTCAATTTTTCGGCCGAAAGTGCGCTTAAGCCTTAATCTAGAAATTGACCAGATCCCCCCTATGATGCCAGCTAATGGCATCCGTTGAAAATCTAGTTGCTCTCATTACATATCTGTGCTTTCTGAAATTCCAGAAAATTTTGACCAGATTATGGCATCAGTATTGCAAAAACTATAGTCACAAGAAATCGAGGATGATGATTATAGAATCAACAGTGTTATACAAAGGCTAGAAAACTGTATTTTGAATATTTAAGAAGATCGCCAGTGTGGTTTTTCAGCCTAAATGATTAATCCATTCCGAATAGTAAACTCATTAGCAAAATATCTATCACTTACCTTCCATAGAAAATGTTTTGAGGTTAAACTCATTGCCGTATAGTAAAACTAAGCACAATTTACCATCAACTTTATGAATTTCTTCGGCTCTTTCAAAATCACTACTTTTCTTTCCTACTCTAAGATCCTTAACCTGTTGTAAGCTTACTGAAAAATAAAGTTATAACAACTGTTGGCAATCTGATCCTAGGGGCTCATTGGATTGGACGTATGAATCAAAAACCGTAATTACAAATAGTTTTCATGGACTGCTTTAAAAAATATTCGTTTACTCCTCACAGCAGTCACCAGTCGAAAAACCTTCAGACCTACATAGTACATAGTAAGGGTGTAGGACTCTGAAGATATCAACCAAGATACTCCAGCTCCTTCAGAAAATAGGTTATTCTATTATAAACTGTGCTTTGCCTTGATGGTGCAAGTTCTGCTTGAATATGATTCGGTCATGTCAACACATTGTACATATTGGCATCCATAATGTTCTACAAGAACATAATCAGATACATATACGGTTCCAGACGATTGGACTTTGTTGTTTTGCTATCTCCGCGTAAACATTTTGTCCACCTGGATAAAAATTAAGAACTAATACTTAAATTAAGGCTGTATAATTGACAGGTTACAGTGGATTATGTTACAGACCGTGTCAAAAACCTGTTTAATTTACTGGCATAGTAGTTAGAGATGTCTGAATAACTGGCATAGTTGACAAATGTCTGAATAATTGGCATAGTTGACAAATCTCTGAACAACTGGCATAGTTGACTGATGTTTGAATTACTGGCATAGTTGATTACATGGTTGACAGGGACGTCTAAAAACTGGCATTGTTTACAGAGATGTTTGAATTTGTAGTATAGTTAACAGAGATGTTTGAATTACTGACATAGTTGACAGAGATGTTTGAATTACTGGCATAGTTAACAGATATATCTGAATTACTGGCATAGTTGACAGAGATGTTTGAATTACTGGTATAGTTGATAGATATATCATAAAATACTGGCAAAGTTAACAGATATATCTGAATTACTGGCATAATTGACAGAGATGTTTGAATTTCAAGTATAGTTTACAGATATGTCCAAATTACTGACATAGTTGGCATATGCCTGAACAACCAGCTGATTATCATCAAACGCTAAACAGATTTTTTTTTTCAAAAAAAAAGCTTATGTCGTACCCTAGTTGTGTTTCGGCAACAGGGATAAAGAAAGACCTTCTTGACATGGGGTCAAATCAACGATTTGAAATTCAAACACGACTTATTAATAAGTGCTTTTCAATTGATTTGAAATTCAAACACGACTTATTAATATAAGTCGTGTTTAATTTCAAATCGTTGAAAAGCACCCATAAGCTTTTTTTTTGAAAAAAAAATCTGTTTAGCGTTTTATGATAATCAGCTGGTTGTTCAGGCATATGCCAACTATGCCAGTAAAAATTCAGACATCTGTCAATTATGCCAGTAATTCACACACCTGTCAACTATGTCAGTAATTTGGACATATCTGTAAACTATACTTGAAATTCAAACATCTCTGTCAATTATGCCAGTAATTCAGATATATCTGTTAACTTTGCCAGTATTTTATGATATATCTATCAACTATACCAACAAGAATATAAGGTGTAGTATATTTGTATCATTATATATAGTATTATTGATATGATCTCACATCTTTTAGATACTTTTTAACAGAAAAAGAAAATTTTGTTCTATTATGAATCATGATCAATTATCTAATGAATTCAAGAAGTTTACCTCTTAGAATGAACATAATATATACAAGCTGAATCTTCTGATTTGACCTAGAGGAATATATATTCATCAGTGGACTTACCTGGTGTCATAATCTATATAAGGAAAGTCCACTGATCAATAAATACTCTAATTGGCCAAGGTTGACAATCTTATGTTCATTCTTAAAGGTAGAAATGTTTTGAAGATAAAAAATATGGTCAAAAATGAAATATATATCAACAACCGTAGCCTATGTTCAGGTTGCTATCTACAATTTTGCAAATCTATTTCAAAATGTAAGCTTCAAAAATACTATAAAAAAGATAAATCTTTCATATTCGGATCCTCAAAACATTTTTTCAGGGTTGAATTTGGAATATTGATATATACCATCAAAGAAATGATATATTTTACTTTACTTCAGACGTAATGAAACAAATTCTAAAATAGTTCATGGTCATTATTACATCAAGGCACAAGAGGCAAATGCCTCATGCCTAATTTGACAAAAAATAAATTTGGTATAATGAATTGCTATTTATATGTTTATTCGATTTTTCCTAGCTCATGGAAAAAATACTATACTTTTTGGCCCTGCAGTTGATGATAAACTACATCTGAGCAGCCAATTCAAAAATTTATTTTGTGCAACTGTCATGCCTCCAATCTTGTTAAATAAGAGCTCAACAATAATACTTGTTGTAAGCGCATGAACAATCAGAACCGCTTGTGCTACAAGGACTTACAACTACAACGAAATTAAGATTTGGAATACTAGTTTCTAATTGGCTATTCTGAATACATTAACCAATTATTTAAACTCTCGCGGATTCTGGGGGTTTTATGGCAGCAAACTATGAGCATGCTATTTATAGATTTAAGCGATAATAGAATAGAAAACTAAAATTGAAACTTTAGCAATTTTTTTTAGACAATATATACTTGAAAAGTCGATTAGTATTTATACATGCATGATACGATATCTTTATGAATATTTAGGGACAAACAACAACCATTGTACATGCGTGTGTTAAAGAGAACATTTTTTTTGGACCAATCGCAGTGAGTTAGACACTTGCTCGCTCACCTGAAGGTCCGGGTTCAATCAATCGATATAGCACCTTCGGATTTTTCAACCCGGTTTCCCCCGGTCAGTTATGTAGGTAAAAAGGCGTCTAGCCGTTCGGGTGGGACAAGAAACCGGGGCTCCGTGTGCTAAAGTCAGAACATGTTAAACACCCCTCGACAGTTGCAAATTGAAAAGGAGCAGGCTAATGCCGCTATCCTGGCAAAATTTCCCTCATGGCACCCTGCATGACGTTGCCCTTCTGCATTAGCCCACATGGCAGAAAAGTAGGACGTAAAACTCCATTCATTTCATTTCATTTCCAAATTATACTCCGAAAATGATGGACATATCCTGTCATAAGAACTCGAGATATCCTTCTGTTTACAATCTAATGTTGAATCTCTTTAATCTAAATTTTCTAATTGCTCCAACTTCCTAGAGGAAACAGTTGACCCAATATTATACAATAACAGATTGCCAATAAAAACAGATTAAAAGTAATTTTATTTCCTGCTTTAATTATTCCATTTATAAAATATCTGGTGAACTGTTCATGCTTTTATACTTTCAAGAGGAAACTATCCTTTCTGCGTTCTTTTGAATTTCGGTGAATTTCTACACACGGATCATAATTGAATCTTTCGAGTCTTATTGGCAGACTTATACCAATAATTAATAAGAAAAACTCGCTTGAATATACATATGTGCTTGAATATAATTTTGATATTCGATTCACTGAAATTTTTGGCTGGATTTCATTGTGCGATATGCAGATTACATTACATGAGATCAAAGGGAAGCGTATGCGATAGCCCTTTAAATATTGACCGCAGGCAATTTCATAACAAAAATTCGACGTTATAATGTTGGTTTCCATATAAAATAAATATGACTTCTTCAACAGATGGGAGTGCCATTCATATCAATGTAATGCTGACGTTATTATATGAAGATAAAAATTTTGTAGAATTAAATGTTATAATATAATTTTTGTTTCATCGCAGGTAATCTTCAAGTTTGAAAACAGGTTGATGGAATGAAATTCAGTCAACTCGTGAAGCAATAAATTTGAGAAGTAAATAATCTCTTTAATATTTTAGGCTTTAGAAATATTAGCCTATAGTTTTGGGTGCATTTATATTTCAATCATTAAATGAATTGACGAGACTGAATTCAAAATGCGCAGCTAGGTGTCATAGTCACAAGTCTCTCAGGGAGCTTTAGCGAGAGATCTCCCAAGAAATTTTCGAAAAATTGAATTGATTTGGTGAATTCTGACACATAATGTGGGGGGGGGGGGGCGTAAATACATTCCCTGTGGCTCCACTTCATACGTAAAACGTAAATACCTGTGGTCTATATTACACAATATCTTTAAAAATATGTAGGTACATGTATTAATAGGCCTATATTTTGATGAATATTTAAGAATGCATCCTGTTTGATAAATCCACACCAGTGCAAAATGTTAATGATAGTAAGTAGTTCTACTTACTTGTTGATTCTGGTCTAGCTCCTTGAGTTCTGATACAGATTAACTCTTTTGTTTCCAGAATGACTTTGATCGTCAGACGCTCAGCCCTCTTTTTCGGACTTATGACCGATACGACTAATCCTGTCTCCAAATTCCTAATCACATTCTCGGTATAAAAGTGTTCATTTTTATCTAAAGATGTACGTCTGTCATATAAAGCCATAATAATAACGTTTTATCAATGTCGTGTATCAATAACCATAATAGACAACGTCCCAATATACAACCTTGTCCTATTCCATAAGCAAAATCGTATAGTTGCACAGAAAACTTGAAATACTGTCGTGTAATGTGATCATGTAAAGCATTTAAACATAATAGGACGAACAAGGAAAACGGAACTGAATTAGATATGAAGATATTCAATATTGTGTATCATATATAGGTCTTCACTAAGTGTATGTTTGTTTAAAGTGGGTCATTGATAATAAATATATTAGAATGCGCTCTTTATACTTGACTACGCAAGTGTTACAATACAAAACATATAGGCCTAAAGCCTATGGTACACTTATCTGCACAGCAGTTTGTTGGTACCGGTAAATCATATTGAGTTGAGCAAAACTAAATTTTTCTCCCTTAACCCGGAAGAAAGATTCATCCATTACAGTCTGTCTATGTATTTTTTTTTCAAACAAGTGAAGGGAAAATCTATAAATTTTCTCTTTAGGCTAATAAATATGTATAGAAAAGTATTCTGTTTTCTTCTGCATTTTTTTTTCTCCATTTGCCTGCCCTTTTGTAAACTATTCCTTTGACTGTAATAGCCGTTTAGTTTAACTTGGTATAATAAGTGGAAGAGAGAAAAGGTTCGATTTTCAGCAGTTTTCGATTAACAGTTTCAGAATTATTGTTCTTGATCAAAATGAAAACAATTAGGGAACCTTATCCAGAGCCTGACCTCATCATCCCCGCCCATGAAACATTCCCCAGTGAAACAAATATGAATTTTGAACATTATGCTATTTAACTTCCTCTTCGATGTCCACTTTTGTCCATTTGTCCGCTTTGTCACATTTTCGAGTTAGGGCTTCGTCTCAATTGACATTTTCGGGTCAATTTTGTGGTTGGAGTTATAAATAGTCATTGTAAATTTGGTACAACTTCCGGTACCGGTATAATTCAATATGGCTGACAAAACTAATAGTGGAGACAAAACCGCGAAGAATAGTAATAATAATAGCTACATGACATATCACAATGAACTCTTTTGTTTATTTTTTTAACAGTTAATGTATTAAGAGTGTATTGAGCAAGTAAAATGGATCCCTCGTTGTTGAAGGAAAGAGAGGCTTTTCTGAAAAGAGCGAAAAGCCAACCGACTGTTGAAAAACGAAAACAAAAATCAAAATCAGATCACCAGGAAACATCTTCAAAGAAACAGAAAGTCAAGAGAGAACATACTCCAAAAGGTAAGTTAGTTATTATTTGATACCTAATTATTTGCTTTAGTGGATGCTGTCATCTAAATATTTGTTTTCTAATAAACTAGAGCTGAATTTAAAGTGATACTATGTCTTAGAATGAACATAAATTTAATTTCTCGAAAATGGTCAATATGAGTATACCTTCATCAGTTAGCTTACCTGGTGTCATAAAGTTACAACAGAATCCCTGTGAAATCTGGAAAATTGGAAAATTCCTATAACTAAGTAATCATTGAAAAACGCTTAATCTTGATATTAAGCGTTTTTCAATATTTAAATGCATATTTAAGGATACTTATTAAGTTTTTTAGATTTATCGGATTATATAAGGATCCTGTTATGTTATTTATGACACCAGGTATATCTACTGGCTCTTATTCGCCAACTTTAAAATTCTATGTTAATTCTAAGACGTAATATCACTTTAAACTATTGTCACTTAAATCTATATCAGTGATCACTCACTTTCAGTAGTTTCAGTTTCATTTTCAGATGTCCAATTCAATTCACTTAATGAGTATTCCTCTCAAATCCTTTTCTTTTTGTATGATCTCCTTTAACATATTATGTTCGATGTGCTTTTTAAATTTTTACTATGTAAATTATTATTTTATTTCAGCCCCATCTTCTTTTGATTATAAAACAGCTCAAGGAACTTCTCAGTATAAATTTAGTGTTTTAGCCAAGATAGTCAAGTACATGAAGGTGAGGTGAAGTTGTTAAGAGGATACAATCCTATGAATGTTAATATTTGCTGCTGATAGAGCTTATCTTCAGCTACCTGTAGAATGTTTTAGAATCTTAACAATCTTCTTCTCAAATTGAACAAGACATTTGGCTGTTCGAGGGCATCAGTTAACACTTGGAACATCATGGTTTTACTTACGGTTATCAAAGCTAACTATCGGTTATATGACTGATAAAAAAACTTAGTAATTCTTTCAAATTTTACTCTGTGTCATAAGGAATGGATTCACCTTAAAATGACTTCATTTATTTGCAGACTCGTCATCAAAATGGAGATACACATCCTTTATTGATAGAGGAAATATTAGATGAAACAAATCAATTAGATATAACAACTAAAATTAGACATTGGTTAACTACAGAGGTTAGTAGCAATTACAGCTAACTTTGCAATGATTCAGAAAAAGTATGTGTCTGCCTTTTCAGTTTTGCAAAGACATAGAATTAGTCTTTGAATTTGGACCAAACTGTTAATTGTTATGGAAAGATCAAGACCACGAGGTTTGGCTAGGGACAAGCTGTAGACAAGATCCTTGTGAATCTTAGTTGTTATTTCTTTCTAATGTTGTTTTCTTCTTGTAGGCTTTAAACAACAATCCAAAGGTTGTGGCTAAAGAGGATGCTGATGGTAAAAAATATTGTTTTCGACCGAAGTTAGAAATTCGTGATAAAAGAGGGTTATTGAAATTATTAAAGAATTATGATCTACATGGTCGAGGTGGTATAAGTTATGAAGATGTAGAAGAGGCCATTCCTGATGCTGAAAAAGCTGTTAGGGTGGGTCTCTTTTTTTATTTCACATTCAATTAAAGAAGGAAAAAGACATTTATGTGGTCTGGTCGGATACAAAATATTAACATCAATAGTCCACAGTCTTTTTTTAGATAGTAAAATTTTAATCTGTAAATGTAAATATAAGCATTTTACTGTTTACTTTTCTTGAAATGAAAAAAAATCGGTCCTTAATGAGCACAAATGTCTTAGCTCAAATGTGTAGTCATAAGCCAAAAAAGAAAATGATCAATTAGTCATTCAGTTCATTTCATTTAAAATAGTCCAGGATTTATATTGCATATCTTAGATTTATATGCACAGTTCATAGGCATTTGTATCTTTTTCTCTAATCACCAATCACTTTCATATTTCAGCAATTAGGTGAACACGTAATACATGTTATTCGTCCAAATGATAAAAAGAAGATATTATTTTATAATGATAAATACTGTAAAATAACAGTAGATGAAGGTTTGTACCTTAGTGAACCATTTAGACATTGCTACCGCCAAATCTACGGGAAAATATGCCTAAAAAGTCCCTTAGCTGTATATCATGGGGCCAAAATAATACCAGTTCATTTCCAAAAAAAAAAAAACACACTTACCAGATTTTTCAATTGTCAAAAATCCAATGTGTGTGATTCTTGGTACTATTTTCACATGTAAAACTGTCTTTGACCAAGCTGTAAATGGGTACAGACGATCCAACAAAGATCAATGCCAAGATGTTTTGCCAACGAAGAGCTGGAAGAAAGTGTCTTCATGAACTTAGGTTGTTTCCCTTTGATATGGGTCAGGAAAGATCATACTCTCCTTAACTAGTGTTTACTCTTGTTTGTCGGTGACTTTATGTCAGTGTTCAACTATTTATAAAATAAATTTTGCAGAATTTCAAAAGTTGTGGAGAAGTGTACCAGTTGAAGGTTTAGATGATAAAAAAATAGAAGAATATTTAGATAAACGTGGCATGACGTCTATGCAGGACATGTCTTCACATAAAGTAAGTTGCTTAGAAATATTATTTTTCAGAAGTCTTGCTGATAGAATCTGCATGCTCAGGTCAAAATTTCCTGAACTAGATAAACCCCTGGTGTCATCCAGAGAGAAAATAGAGATGGAAAGTCTATTTTGAATCCCTTTTATAAAGCTCATGTTAATATGGTGTATTTCGTAATAATAGTCAAATAATTTTGATTTTGTTTTAATATTTAAATCTTCTTTTTCAGGTTCAAGCACCAAAGAGAAAGAAAGGATCTCGTAAAAACAAGACATTTAAGAAACATAACGATCATTTGGATGGTTTATTAGAAGATTATACTGAAGATAAAAAGAAATAGATGACGCTTGAATGTGTATCAGATATGAAAATAAACTTTTTCCTGAAAATGGAAATAGACTGCTTTTGCATGTGGTGATCGTGGAAATCACTAATGTCACGCATATCTTTGATCTGTGCCTAATATCACTATGACATTACATGATATATGCTAATGTTCTGGGAGGTTTCTAAAGAGCTTATTTTTGGTTCTAAGAAAGAAAGACACAAAAATATAAAATTCTATTAAAGACCAAGCTAAAGCCATGTATTTGTTATTTTTTTAAAAATCTACAAGGTATATTCTAATGGACTAATATATTTGGGCACATGTAAGGACTCTTCAATATATAAACACAAACAGTTCAATTATTTTGAGGTAGAATAATAGTTATATGAACCATACAAACTAGATTTATTTTGTTTCTGCTATGTAAACTTGAATCTGTCAACCGCACTGTAAATGTGTTCCAAATTAGTTGTAGTCTGGAATTATTTATTTGGAGTTACGTCCCCTTAAGCACCTGTCATGTCTGACAGCAGACGATTTTTCTTTATTTAAAATGTACGCAATGATTATTATTGCTACTGTCTAGATCTAAATCAATTTAATCTGAAATGTATCAAAGAGCGACTAACGAGCCAGTCATCTTGTTCGCATCGCGACCATGCTTTGATGAGTTTTGTGCGATGACAATATACATTTCCAATCCGGGAGATTTTGAAATGACTTCCCAGCCACACGTTATTCGTTGCAGGTGAGATGGCTCTTTCTTTTAAATTTTATATTAAATATTTATAGCACAGTTCCTCTATGTACTCAGCTGCTTGTCATGAAGCATTGGGGAAAGGAATGAGGTGGATAAGTAGGCAAATTGTGATTCCAAGTCAAATATGTAGACTGTAGCAGTAACAAGACTATCGGTACTAGATTTGATGATTATACCAGTAATCTAATGTCTTCGATAAAATGGTTTGTCAACTTGGATTTAGATATATTTATATTTCAGGGAGCTATTATTCACAGAACCAGAAATAATATCTACTCCATCATTAGATTTTGATCAATGTTTTTATGTAATAATGCATGTAAGTAAAGTTAATAATGTTCACCAGGCTACTTTAGTACTTACGTCACAACTTCTAAATCAAAGGCCTACTACATGAGCAGTTTTGGAAAGCAATTTACCAAAGACAATAGGCCTACTGTACCATATCTTGACACTAAAAACACTCAAAGATTAAGATTTAAAGGACGTTAATGTGTTTCTATGAAAAAAACTTAAGGATGGAACGAAAGGCTTATCATATGACTATGGATCCATATTTTATTCCAGCACAAACTGTACAAAACTGGTAGATTACAGACACGATTTGAAAAGAAAGGTCTGAAAGTAAGTATCAAAGTTTTGTTTGAGGTTTTCTAATGTCATGTGCCATTTCAAAGTAACTCTTCAGAAAATTATATTTTGGAATTAATTTTTAGGCCTATATAATGTAACACATAATAAGCTTAACCAAGATGTTATTTTTCAGGCAAGCAGTCCATACAGAGTGTTACCAGCATTGTATCAAGCTTGCTTGAGATACACTTTAACAGCTAAAATAGCTCCTTCGTGGAACAAAGTTGGTGAATGGCATTTACAAGGTACAATGTAGTCTGTTTATCTTGATTTTAAATACTGGTAGCTTATTAAATTTTGCTTCAATGATGTATTTAATTGCTGTCTACATGTACTATGTTAAACAATGAGGTCATGTGTTTGTTTTCACTGTAGGCCCAATGCACTGGCTACTACTAAATCCAGCATCATGTATTGCATGATAATACAGTAGATTTGATTCTTTTTTCTAGGTAGAGATTTTGTGACACATAATGGTTACATGAATGGAATAAGTGAGTAAATTTTATAACTATATTTTGAAGTACACATTGCCTTTAAAAAATATATAACTTGACAATTATGAAAATAGAAACTATATAATCTCTCATCAGTGTGCGTATGATATAGGCTATGAACTGAAAAATAATATTTGTCAACTTTCAGAAATGAATCTGGTTGTAAATTCAGATGAAGTGTATATGTCAGTATTTGGTACATCAGTAAAATGTCCACATTTACAGGTAGGTGTGTAAAGCTTAAAGGGACACATGCGCCATTTTTTTTTTTAGACCAAACACACCTAAATCTCAGAATCAAGAATATTTTTAGGTTAGCCTATCAATAATACAGCTCTCCGCCGAAATTTGATCCTTCAAAACCTGGTGTGTCCAGAATTATCTGCGTTTGAATGACGACTCTTCAGTTTAAATAAATTACCAGTTATCATCAATAAATGTTCTTATTATGCTTTTAACTGTTATTTTCCCCTAATGATGTTCCCAACAACAGGCTCCAGGTTGAATTAACTAATAATGCGTATTAATATATATTTTTTTCCTTTCTCAGATACATGATTTAGATATTGATACTACTAGATTAAGTAGAATGTTTGAAGGTGATAGGAGATTTCAAACATTAGAATTAAATCAATGGTGTTATATTTTACCAAGGTAAACTTACTCTAAATAAGGCAAGCATCGCGGTCATGTATCAAGTTGATTTATCCAATATGGAACAAAAGCATGATACATGTATAGGTATCTTAGCTTTATTAGTTTCAGATTCAAATAAATTCTTAAAATGCTTTTCTGTATTGAATCAAAAGTCTAAGATATTTATAGAATGGAAGAAATGCAAATCCATTTATTTGTATTTAAAGGACCCCAAGAATTTTCTACTTATTTTTATGGCTTCCAAACTGTCAAATAGATTATATTAAGTTCTGTCTGTAACTTATTTTTCAGCATGAAGAAAGGTAGAATAGTCAGTGTGTCTAGACAAATACCTCAATATGATTGTCCTTTTACAACCTATAAAGATCTGAAAAAACACTGGAAAAATACAGTTAGTTGACTAAACATTTTCAATATAATCTGTAAATAATTAAAAGTTCGCTATGTAGTAAATAATCTAATTTATGCACATCTACATTTCTTTTTTTATTGCAAATGGCTGACTTAACTTGCCATCCATAATCATACAAAATATGTATGCAATTTGTGTTCCAGGTCATTAAGATATCCAACCAATAAATGCTGTTTTCAAATGGATTTAACCACATGACTATATATAAGGAATTCTAAGGTATTCATTGTTGTATATTCAGCCTAAATAGCAGAAAAACTGAATAACTTTCATGTTGTTTTTTTTTCCAGTATGGATATAGATTACCAGAAACAGATGAAGAAATTTTATTCTATCAAGTTACATTCTTACCATTAGGAGGTCGTTTATTTACCTATCCTAGTGTGTGTTTATGTAGTCGTAACTTACAAACAATGCCAAGAATAGATCCCAAACCTATCATAACAGCTTTTTTACAAGATATACATAATAAAATACCATCAATATGTGGACAGTCATTCCAATTTCAACCAAAAATAAGATACACACAGCAAGAATTTCTGATTAGTTCTGAGGTAAGCTTACATTTATTAAAATTATAAATTGTTAGCACTTTAGGTCGAAAATATAACTTTTATATTGGTCAAGTTTTTTTGCCTTGGCCAATAAATGAAAAAAATATCCTCTGAATATCATAAATTCTGAAAAACTCATGACCCTCGGAAAGCTGGGAATACACCTGACTATCTGTTATATACCACATATTAAATAATCTTTATAAACATGTAAAAAAAGTTTTACTTTGATTTTCAGATAAAAGATCAACCAAAAGAGAAACTGAATCTTGTGTCAAGAAATCCTAAACCACCTACTATCCCCTTACGAAACTTAAATCAAGTTCAACATATGTATCAATCAAAAATTATCAATAACATCAGTAGAATTACTCAATCAAATATTGATTGTCAATCAACACCTTCCTCCAATCAGAATGAGGATATCTTCCTTTCTCAATCAAGAAATCAAATGTCATTTGATAACCATGGATCTACAGGCACTAGTGAAAATATCAATTTCAAGAAAAAGGGTACTGTTAATATACCTAATACTGGAAGAATCAAATCTGTGGACAAAATTTCTTCAAATGTGGTACCAGTAACTTCTCATGTTGATGCATCTCAAGAACAAAACAGATCTTCAAGAATCATTCCATTGTTTCGACCTAAATCCAAATCTGCTGGCAGACAAGTTTACAAACCTGAAGGTCCCAAACAAGTACCATCTTTCAGTTCTAGAATCAAACATACCATTCCTGTTATTCCTCAAAAAACGTTCTCTTTGGAAAGTGTGTCCCCTGTGAAACTGGTCTCAAATTTGTCACAGCCAAAAACTCTTCCAGTTTTCTCCTCCCAAAAGACAAAACCAGCCTTTACTCATAAACCAGTCAGTTCAGTTCAGAAGCCTAGTGCAAATATTACACCAAAGCTGTGTCCTAACTTTAGTCAAAAGAAGATAAAGCAACTTTCCACATCACTTTCCAAGTCAACTCAAAAATTAAAGACACAGAATAGAAGCTCTGCCAATAAAGAACCCGCAATAAAGGCTCCAGAAACTCCTAAACCCAAGACTTCAGCCACTAAAACATGCAGTCCCGGGAGTGTCCCCAGAGGCCTAGTGGTACAGAGTACACCAACAGAGAGGAGATTTGTTCCCTTTGGAGCCAATCCTAAGGCCCTGTCAACACCAAAGCCAAGATTATTAAATCCATCAATTCCTCATTCTAAAACGCCAGTATTTTCTATCACTGACAGTGACACTGTTGATACTAGTTTTGATGTATTTAATAATTTAGGATCTAATAATCCTATTGTGCCTGTAACACCAAAAGCAACAACAAACCTATCCAACAATTTCTCTACACCTAAACCTGGTCAACAGGTTGGCAACCAGATGTCAGAAAATTGGATGCTCAAGACTCCTGATAAGAAGGCTAAGAAGAGAAAGGAGACTGTAACACCATCATTATCACAGGTACATCCTTTATCATTTGACATAATATCAATCTGGAAATTGTTTTTGTCCATGAGCCAGGTATGCTTACACTGTTTCATTTGGTAATTTCATCATGTGCAAAAAAGCAGGTTTCATATCTTGCTTTATAAGGAATATTGCAAGACTAAGACATGCCGGCATGATATTTGATGGCATTGATATTTGATGGCATTGATATTTGACGGCATTGCTATTTGACAGCATTGCTATTTGACAGCATTGATGTTTGACAGCATTAATGTTTGACGGCATTGATGTTTGACAACACTGATATTAGACACATTGATGTTTGACAACATTGATATTTGACAGCACTGATGTTTGACAGCATTGATGTTTGACAGCATTGATGTTTGACGGTATTGATATTTGACAGCACTGATGTTTGATGGCATTGATGTTTGACAACACTGATATTTGATGGCATTGATGTTGGCCGACACTGATATTTGACGGCACTGATGTTTGACAGCATTGATGTTTGACGGCATTGATGTTTGACGGCATTGATACTTGACGGCATTGATGTTTGATGGCATTGACATTTGACAGCATTGATGTTTGATGGCATTGATATTTGACGGCACTGAAGTTTGACGGCATTGATATTTTATGGCATTGATAGGGTGAGGGTGAGGGTGGTGAAGCTAAAAAACCTAGAGCTAAACCTAAAATACAAGTTGTTGATGTAGAAAAATTAGCTAGATCAAATCAGGTTAGTTTATCAAATTTTTGTTATTATGTGATTCAATGTCAATATCTTGCCATCATTTTTTAGTCTGAATCACAGTTTTGTCAATTAAAATGTAATTAAGTACTGTAATATTTTTGGCCAATTAGCTGTATGCTCAACTGAAGTCCAATAAAACAGCAATCAGATCAGCTAAGGCAGTAATTATTTAAGATTTAAGCAATTAGTCATGTAAAATTTAATCCAAATATAAATTTCTTTCTAGATGGGCAAAGCTAATGCATTAACTTTAACAACTTGGCTTAAACAAAGAAATATTGTTGTCAAAGCTAAAGATAAGAAGAATGATTTGGTGGATAAAGTTTTCTCATTCCTGAATCTAGCAAAACCTACAGAACTTACTTCACCTTCCACGAAATTAACACCCAAATTAGTTCCAAGTACACCTCATAATGCAGAGTTTGATGATTCTTCTTCTAGTGTTTTCCAGATTGCGCAAACAGAACATACTCAGAAACCTACTGAATTTTCACATTCATTGTTCAATACTTTACAGAATCCTGAACCTTAATTACTGAATATTTTTGTTCTTAACCTGATTGTTGTGATATTTATAAATGTGATATTTTTCTGTGATATTTATAATTTGAATTAATAATTATGATATTAAAGAATGAGTAACTGGAGCTTAATGTTTAACTTGTACCCCTCTTGCGTCGCCACTGCATGCAGTGTGCAATTAGGACAATTTTACAAGATAGTGGCTTGAGGAATCTCCAACTAGCTCCGTATGTAGCACATTGTTCCTCTTGACGTTGCATACCCTTTTGTCTTGTCACATTCTCTGTCAGAAATTGAAAAATGAAATGAATGGAGTTCTACGTCCTACTTTTCTATACCATGTGGGCTATTGAAGACAGGCAACGCCATGCAGGGTGCAATGAGGGAAACTCTGCCAGGACAGCAGCATTACCCTGCTCTTTTTATACGCCCACATCTCTCTATGTGGACCTATATTGTTGGCACCCCTGTCCCTCCGTCGGTCCGTCAACATTTGCGTGTGAACGCTCTAAAAACTAGATTTTTTGATGGAATCAAATGAAATTCGGTATGTGTAGACATATTCATAATAGAAGATCAAGTTCGAGTTTGAGCTACTTTCGACCATAAGAAGCAGAGTTATTGCTCTTGCCCCAAAATCTTTAATATTTACCATCCGCATGCCTCATGGGCGTATATGGCTGTGGTCCACTATCTTTCAATTTCCAACTGTCGAGGGATCTTTAATTCTTTAACCCATAGCACATGGGGCCTCTTACCTGAATCACTGACACAGGGAAACCGGGTTGAAAAACTGAGCCACCACGGCTCCAATCCCGACCGAGAAACCCGGTTAAAAGGTACTAACCAGGTACTATCTCAAGCTTTAGTTAGTTAGTACAACTGGCAAAACAAATTGCGATCAATGATACTGGAAAACTTATGATATATTTCATATATTATTTACAATAACAACACAGTTTCATAAGCAAATAGATTATATATTAATCTTTCAAATAAATATTTATCTAAGATTATTTCTAAACCAATATCAGTATAATAAAGCAAGATGATATTGAGGACTAAATGATTGGAAATAGTGAAATCTTTAAATAAATTAACCCAACCATGTGGCTGTGATATCTTCAATGAAGAAAAAAAAAGTCACAACCATAGCCAACGGAATTCAAAGGATATTAATATTCTACTCAACTTTTGTGAAGAAAAATTCAATATAGCCTACTTCAATAACAATTATGGAATTTAACAGTTAATGATATGTGCATAATTAAAGCAATGCTATAGCTTTATAAATAAATAATAAAAGGCACAATATATCTTTCACAAGTATATACACAAAATTATCAACAACAGAATTCTACAGAATTGGTGACTTATAAACCCCAGAAAGGTGCAGAGTATATCCAACATATTTTGCTGAAGTTTATGGCACTTTTTCAAACATCTCTCTTTAAGGACAGGTTTGACATCTATTTGACCAATAGTACCGTAGAAATTTTTTACCTATGCTCATCAGTTCTAGTGTTCACAGCTCATGAGCCATCGTATCATTGTGTCCAAAATTATCCATGTTTGAAAGTTAGAATGACGACTTATCTTTTCTTGAGACTTTAGAAATAGAATGTGAAAATCCTAGTTTGAAGAATTTTTGAAGGAATTATGCGAATTTTGTAGATAATAAGTAATTCTGAAGACTGTTTACATATAGTCATGACCAAAATGAGCCCCGAAAATGGCAAACCTGCCCTTTAACATATATAGACAATTTACCATTGTTTCCAAGTAAAAGACATTCCTCTATCCATATTATAACAAAAATCAATAATAAGCACTAATAAATTGTTAAAAGCCTGATTATTAGCTCACACAAACCATTTGATTATAATCTTAATATTTGAATTATTGGGTATAAAATGTTTAATATTCATATAAGAGGCTCATAGCTTCTGAAGCTTTTCCTCGAACACTTGGTGATGGATCTTTGAGTAATAATATTAACGCTGAAAATAGAAATAAAGATATAGCTTGAATCTTAACCACTTGCACCACCTTTCCAACTTTCAGTCTGTCATCTTGTGCTTTTAGCAATCTCACACTGATATTAGAATGGTGCAAATTGAGGCTATCAAAATCCCCTATACACAGGTTTACTATCATTGAAGGTAAAAATCTGTTATGTCACACGGAATAAACTAAATATTTTGTGGAGATTTAAGATGTATAATTGGACTATATTTATTTAATATAAAGAATAGAAAACATTATCTAAGGTAAACAATATTAAAGATGATATAACAATAATTTACCTGAACAAGTATGTTCTTTTGATATATTTCCTTGTTTATCTTTAGAGAGATTTCCTAATAAAAATCCTGCAATATTCAAAACAATCAAATCATTTGAAAAATTCAACATAGGTAGCTTAGGCTATACAAAATAAATAGTCTGTTTTACAGGCCCAAAAATGCCTGATTGTTGCCTTAATATTACATGTACATTAAATTTGTGGAAATAAATAATAAATGCTTTGGCTTGCTCCGATTTATTCCAGTTGAAAATCTAAAAAAGCGCTTATAAATGATAAATAATAAATTCGCCCTCTCACCTTGATTTTTGAAAAAAAAAGGCCTGTAAAACAGACTATTTATTTTGTATGGCTTTACAAATCTGATGATTAGATTCAAAATTAAAATAATTACAGTCATTAGGTTTTGAGTTAAAAGATGTCATTTGGTCACTGAAATACTGATTCATTTTCAAGCAGCTTTAAACAGTGTAAAAATCTCACCTGAAAACATGGCAGCATTACTCTTGATTTCAGGCCACATACTTTTAAAGAATGAAATACAACCCATAACATAGAAATTAATTTTCTCAGGAAAATCTTGAATCTGAAATAGAAGGTCCCTTATTTACAAACTAACAATCCTGATGAAGGATTTAATATCAGAAACATATCAATAATAGGCTACATATTCCGAATATTTGGGATTCTAATGTACAAGTTATGCAACTTTTCTTTAAGGATAAAACGCAATGCATTATTTTAAACATAAATAACATAAAACCAAATTATTACTAATATCATATTTTAAATCATAGGTTTCTAGGCTTGCATATTAGATGCAATAATTCAATATGACAAAAAGATAATGTAACTTACTATTAATTTGGCTAAATCATTCATAAATTCACCATAGAATAAATTAGCTCCCTCTAATAGATGTTTCTGAAACTTATTATTTATAGCATCAGAACCCATCAATGGTCCTAATAGTCTTAATGCATATTTACACGCCTGAAATCAAACAAAAATATTTCTAATAAAATTTGAAATTCATTGGGATTCTGCGAAAACTATGTTTTCAAACTCTACCCCAGTCATTAATTTAGGTTTGAAGGGCTGACTAAGATACAGGGTCTAGTTAGAAACCCAAACAAGGACCTGTATTCAACTGTAGGCCGAAATTTCCCTCATCGAACACTGCATGGTTTTGCCTGTCTTCATTACCCATTAGTCTTATGCAGAAAACAGATATATACTATATTACTTTCATTTTTTTTTTTATTTAGTAATCTCTAATGGACGTATGCCAGAAAGGCTGTGGAATATACAATGGGCATTTATGTATCAAAACAAATACAGTAAATATCCATTCTAATGATTTCCATGATTCCAGATCGGAATTTAAAATCTTCCCCAATCTATTACTTACTTTTCTCACTTCATGATCTGGATCATTTAAATGTAATAATAAGCTAACAAAATTACTATGTATTTGTTCTAAAAATGGTTGTCGTGATGGTCCGTCTCCAAATCGTGATAAATTACCAAATAATATAAAAGCTTGTGCTCTAACTGCTGGTTTGTCCTACAAATCAAAACAAGCTATGTGCACACAAGGGGATGTTGAGATGACAAAACAAGTTACAGAGTGGCCTCAGTGATTCTGGAGAATTAAGCGTGCTCTGTCTCACTAGCCAATGCCTGTCATATAGTTACTATCGAAGATAAAATTTAACAAATTTTAAGTAGATGCTTCAGCCTATTGGTTGTTAATGAATATCCTCATACACGTTATTACCTTGTGGACTCTCCTAAAGGAATGAAAATCCCAGTTGCATAGTGGTATCAGCTATTCAAAACAAATGTGCATGATTACTTTTTATTAAGTAACTAAAACCATAAATAATTTTCTCACCTTTTCAAAACATGGTCTGATTCGTAAGGCAACATTAATTAAAATGGCTCGGATATGACTTTCATCTATTTCTGAGAGTATACGTGATAAACCACTCATAGCTTCTATTGTTATATCATCTTCCATATCTTCTTTATCATCCATACCAGCCATCATAGCTGATAAAATAGTTGTTGAGTATTTCTGTACCTATATAATATAAACACATCTTCAATACATGCAATCAAGCATGGTCAAAACAAGTGTTTTCCTGGAGAAACTTTTGACATATTGCTGGTGATTTTATGACAAGACCATGCATTTGGTCATCACCATGTCCATGTTGCACATTTTCTGCATTCGGTCCACCAAAGGAATACCTCCACTACCAGTGCCTTCATCATTAGACATATTGCTGGATTCAATTGATTGTAAAGAGGTTTTTTAAACTTTTTATGTGTATTGAGAGACACTGAGAGCATCGATTTGCATCATTCCTATTTTCAGTCTGGCGTCAATGGTTCTTGCAATTCCACTAAAATAAAGTCAGGTTGCTATTGTGCTAATACTATACTAAGGGCTCTTGTGATAGTGACGTTATAAAATTCTGTGTTTCAGATTATTTGCAATGAGTCTGATACATGAAAATTGGTATGGTGCAAATGGATGCAAAATTAAAGAAGAAATGACTTACTTGATCTTTTCCTACACTAGCAATATTACCAAGACCTCTAATACAATACATCCTAACAATATGAGATGAATCTACTAATCTTCCCAATAAACTATTCATTATTAATTCTACTAATAACTCATCACCAGCACACTTCTGATTTATCAACTGAAAACATAGCAACAGTACATATTCAACTCATTGAACCTACAAATTTTGCTAGCTTCATGAGATGGACTTTGTCAGACCCTCTGACTTGCCTTTTTCATGTGGGCTATAGTCTTTTTATTTTAGCACCTTTAACCATCAGCTATAAATAACAAAATGGCAAGTCATCAATATTGACTGGGGAATTCTTGGTCTCTTTGATAATGTACACACCCAGTTTGGCAAGCCTTTTTAAGGGTGTAAAACTGTGCACAAAACAAGAAAATATACAGTAAACAGTTGTACCATAAGTCAAAATTTCATTGTCATTTGAAGTTCTGCGATGGAAATGGATTTCTACTATTTCTTTAACTTACCTCAGCAAAGAATGCTGCTACAACAACTCTCTGTGGATCATAAATACTCTGTAATACTGATGTTAAGTTAGCTACTATTTTAGCTGTATGTTTAGCTTCTTCTGGGCATGATATTAGAGCTCTAAAAACATTAAAGACATAGTTAAAAATAGAGTAACATGTACATTAAATTAAGTAGAATAATATTTCTGGAATTCAAAAGAATATAAAACCAAGAAATTCAACTGTAATTTGAACTGTGACATTGGAAATTGGAAACCTTTTTTATTTGGGTGTTTTAATGACCTTTGGAATGGCTGCAGTATTGCAGTTTTTTAGCTTTGAGTTTTAGAGATAATTTAAACTAATATTAACAGACTTAAAGTCTTTGAATGGCATTTAGCAATTGTGAATACGATATATAGACACAGCTTTATGGAACAACATTCACTGGTTAAAGTTTTATGCAACCTTTTGACGTGTTTCCCCCGTGGTCCTCAGGCACCAGTGATTGTTGTTCCAGAAAGCTCTGTCTATATATTAACAGACATGTTTCAATATTTACCTTGCTAAAATTGTCATAGCCTCTGAATATTCCTTTTCATCTTCCATTTTCTCCCAAACTCCTTCATTATCTAATATTTCTATTAAATCATCTGCTTTACTCCTGAGTAAAAACTCTCTGAAAGCTTCAATAGCACATCTGGAAGGAATAATTTCTTATTTGAGTAACTATTTTCCATATGATTTATGTTGTTAAACAGCATTGCATCTCAAGATTTTTTGATAAATGAGTTATTTCTCTTGACTGTTTGCATCTAAATTTAGTTGAGAATACATGAAGATAGATAGAGACATGAAACTTATGGCTTATATGATTTTAGTAGGCCTACATTTTCAGACAATCATTTATTTTCAGATTTTTAAAATAATTTCTTACTTTATTGGTAATATTTTTTTCTGAACAACTGGCGCGGATTTTCTTTTATCTTTACTTTTAACTTTCTCTTCACTTTCTGTCTGGAAAATAGAATTTACAGAAATTAGACAATTTGAGATATTAAAATATAGTATTCACATAAAATGGCTGAAGTGAGAATAAACCTTCTCAAAATAGCATTGAAGAATCCTTAATATATTATCTTTGTAAAATAATGGATTATAGTATTTTTGAATTGAAGTGAAATGATGTTTTCACCCTTCTTCTGCTAATAAAGTTGGGCATTACAATGCATTGTGCAATGAGGGAAATTTTGTCGATGCTTAAGCTATTACTGCTACAAACTAACATTGCCAAAAGATTTTCCTTACCACTGATTTAGGTGGATTAACTCCAACAGATGAACCTAGACGAACTATTAAAGCGGCAAATAATCTGTAGAAATTCTTGATGACTTCTGCTTCAGTTTCTTCTGTTTTAAATAATACTGTTATTGCACAGGTTATCTGTAAAAGTATGTTTGAAGATAATATACTAAAGAAAGGTAATCGTTTTTGACAATTGCTGTGCATATTTGACATAAGAGGGCCTGAAATTGAAAAAGCGTTCAGTTGTTCAGATGGGACAATAAACCGAGGCCCTGTGTGCTACAGGCTGTGCACGTTAAAGATCCCTTGACAGTTGGAAATCGAAAAAAGAGCAGGCTAAAAATTTTACAAATTGCACAATGCATGGCGTTGCCCATCTTCATTGGCCCACATGGTGCAGAAAAGTAGGGCGTAAAACTCCATTCATTTCATTTCATTTCTTTATTAATATTTGACAAAATTGTCCTAAAATATTATTAATTTTGGGCTGAATCTTTTGGTATCTGACATACAGATCAAAAGATCAAAGGCTTTACGAATTTGCAGTCCCTTTTGAAGTGAATGAAAAAATATATTTCTATACATACAGCTAAAGGAATATTAGTAGCAGTTTTCTTGGTGTCTTTATCTTTAGATTTCTCTTCATAAGGTAAACTTTTCTGTAAAACTTCTAAGAAATAATCTAACATATGAGCTACTAGAGACTGTTCTTGTGATAAAATACCCCAAATTTCTATCACTACACTGAAATAGAAGACAGTTAAAATTTCATAATTCTAATCAATGAAATCTGTAGATGATAGTTTGTATAAAATAAACATTAATGTTATATAACGAGGCTGGGTATACTGGTACTGTTAAAAAGGATAATGTCCAATTGGGACTTGGTGATACTTACCTATCATAAGGTAGTTTATAATTTAATAAAGCTTTTAAAACAGTTAATAAATGATGACTAGCTAATGTACGTATTGTTCGTAATGTACCAGTTCGTGTTTGTTGGTTGTCTATTATACAGAGTTTATCATATAAATTTTCTAGTGTCTTCTCAACCTGTAAAATAATTTACATGTTCAACTAACTATCTGTAAGTAAAAAGGATTGTAAAGAGGTTTTCTAAACATTTAATGTGCATAATGGACACTGATAGCATTAATTTGCACTATTCTAATTTTCATGTAGATATGGTTCTTGTAATTGCACTAAAACTTGATTCCCTTTCTGCAGCTTAATTCCCTCACATCAGTTTCTTGGAATTCTGTATAATATATTCTATTTAAGTGGATTTACTGATATACAACACTTTTCAAATAGACAAACACAACACTTTTCAAATAGACATGCACAACACTTTTCAAATAGACAAACACAACACTTTTCAAATAGACATGCACTACACTTTTCAAATAGACATGCACAACACTTTTCAAATAGACATGCACTACACTTTTCAAAAAGACAAGCACTACACTTTTCAAATAGATAAGGACTATACATTTCAAATAGACATGCACAACACTTTTCAAATAGACATGCACTACACTTTTCAAAAAGACAAGCACTACACTTTTCAAATAGACATGCACTACACTTTTCAAATAGACATGCACTACACTTTTCAAAAAGACATGCATTACACTTTTCAAATAGACATGCACTACACTTTTCAAATAAAAAAGCAAATAATATATAGCAATTTAATGTGGATCTAGGATCATGTAGTCCCACCACCACCAGTTAAAAGAGTGTAGGACCATTAAATCATTGGAAAATTAGAGAACCAAATTAAATGTTAAATGTATAAGCGAACTAAATATTAGTAGATACTATGAAGTACATACATGCAGAACAAAAGTAGTCAAAAGCATTAGAGCATAAAGAACATAGTTTGAGCATAAAGAATATAGTTAGAGCATAAAAAAATCATTACAGAATCAAAAAATATAGTTAGAGCAGAAGGAACATAAATTGAGCATAGAGAACATAGTTTGAGCATAAAGAACATAATTAGAGCATAAAGAACCTAGTTAGAGAATCAAACAACATAGTTTGAGCATAAAGAACATAGTTTGAGCATAAAGAACATAATTAGAGCATAAAAAAACATAGTAAGTACAGAAAGAACATTGTTAGAGAACAAAGAACATAGTCAGAGAATAAAGAAAACTGATAGAGAACAAAGAACATAGTCAGAGAATAAAGAAAACTGATAGAGAACAAAGAACATAGTCAGAGAATAAAGAACACTGTTAGAAAATAAAGAACATTATTAAAGAATAGTTTATGAGTGTAAACATGCTTTTAATATAGTTACCTTTGCTTCCTGTTAATTGTAAGTATGAAATATAATGATATTGATAATAATCTAATATAGTAATAATAATTCAAATTGTTTGCTTGCTTACAGATATTCTTTTTAAAAATGATGTCTATTTTTTAAAAGTAATGTGTCTTTTTAAAAGTGATGTCTATTTTATAAAAGATGTCTGATTTATAATGATGTCTTTATCATAAATGATAAAGTTAAATTCTTATATAAATGTGTACCTTAGAATGCCTAAATTATGATTTCGACATTTCTTCAGTTATGTAAAAATCCAAAAGCCAAACTTACCGTTGAACCAATTTCTCCACCACGTAATTTCATAAAACCATTTAATACCACACAAGCCCCAGATGCACTATGGGACTGATTATCTAAGAGGCCATCTTGAAGAACATCTATAAATTTTTCTAAATGTTCAGCTGGTAATTTTTTAGCTATAACCTACAAACGTGAAAAATATAAAGATTAATATTCTATCGTTCTTTTTCATCCAGTCATGTATATCAATATTTTTTATTATCTCTATGGCAACAAGTCAAGATACTATTTCATTATGTTACTATCACAAAGGCCCTTAGATATTCTTAGCAGCTTTTCTAATAGTGACATTATAATCTAAGCAGTTTTCTCAAAAGTGACATCATAAATTAAGCAGCTTTTTCAATAGGGGCATCATAAACCAAGCAGCTTTTTCAATAGTGACATCATAAACTAAGCAGCTTTTTCAATAGTGACATCCTAAACTTAGCAGGTCTTTCAATAGTGACATCCTAAACTAAGCAGCTTTTTCAATAGTGACATCCTAAACTAAGCAGCTTTTTCAATAGTGACATCCTAAACTAAGCATGTCTTTTAATAGTGACATAATAAACTAAGCAGCTTTATGAGAAAATATCCCAATTGATTGATTACAGCTTTCATGTTTATCAGTCCCAAATCCAAATATCCTTTAATAAGCAATCAATATTTGTTTACCTTTGATAAGTCATTTATAACACTAAATAATATGGAGGGATCACTTTTTCTTAATCTATCTTTTAATGTTGGTAAAGCATCTATCATTTGATCTGGTGTATCAGCGCTTAAACCTTAAAATAGAAATTAGGTTTATAACCCATAATATTGGAATTTTCACAACTTTTAATACTTTGAAGGTATCTATTATACTATATTCCTTTGGTATTGTACTGTAGAATGATTGGTAATATCCTGGCAGATTTTTGTTCAATATGCAAAATTTGGTATGTGAACTGTGTATGACACAATATTCATATGTCCACAAGCCATATACATTGATATCCCTTACATATACTTGCTAGAAACCACTTATTAACATTTTTAACTATCCATGTATATATTTTTTACAAATTTCTTCACTTTTTTTCTAATAAATGCTTCTTTCATATGCTTACCTTCATATCTCAGTCCTATTTTAAGTGTAGCTTGTAAACAGTTGACAGCTAGTTGACGTATATTATTACTAGGGTCTGTACATCGTGGTACTAAACGAGCTAAAAAGGTTCCTTCATTTAAAAATCTTGATACTATCTGAAAGCCAAAAAATCAAGGTTCACTATCTCTTGTAACTTCTAGCAATGAGAACAAAGCTTGCTTTCAATTGCACATTCAAATTCATCAACAATTACTTCAATTACTTTCATCATAGTAAATTTCATGGTTCTTCCTCTTTGTAACAAATAACAGAAAAGATTTCTTGTACACCACATGTATTCTATTTTCAAAATTCATTACAGATTCTAAAGATACGCTAGATAAAGTTTTAACTCACCGAAATGTCCATTCTTTCAATATAATATTCTAAGACAAATAACCAGGTTTTTAAAGCACGTTCTCTTTCATAATCATTCACTGATAATATCCAGTTTATTAAATGCTGAAATTACAAAATATCTGTGAAATTTCCATTAATTAACGTCCATAAGGACAGACGAACATTTAAGAAAAGATTTAGAAAGAGGTTCTGAATTGAAACCTTGTCCATTTTTCAAAACAAAATGAATGTTTTCCAATTCCTTAATGGGTGTTTCTTTGCCAAGCCAGTTTTCTGTATAGGACCTAGCTCTAATTTCATATACACTTGTTTCCACAAGGAGGCAAAACAGTCAAGGAAACTTGACTGTGAACTAAACAAGCCAGAAGTATTAATTACCAATTAATTAGCAATAATGATTTGAATTGTTCCAGATGTGCTGAATTTTGATACCTTTGTCTAAGTCACAAATAGGTTACCTTGAAAATACTTTCTAGTCCCATAGGAGTAGGATCTTTATTAATAATTTCTTTAAGTACTTCATGTAAAGCATCAAAAGTGGTAGATAATAAGACTTCTGCTTCTAACATTTCATCATAAACATCTTCTTTTCCTTTCTTAACACTAACTCCATCTGGTGGTAAACAGAACACACAGTCTGTACATGTCTTGACTAAATCAAATATTTCAGCCTCGGAAAGTTTAGGATGGAGTTTACTATAGAATAGTTAAGGAAATGATTGAAAAACAGTCATACTTGAGAATGACTTGGTTACTCTTGGTACTGATCAACTGACGTTGTTACTCTTGGTACTGATCAACTGACGTTGTTACTGTTGGTACTGATCAACTGACGTTGTTACTGTTGGTACTGATCAACTGATGTTGTTACTCTTGGTACTGATCAACTGACGTTGTTACTGTTGGTACTGATCAACTGATGTTGTTACTCTTGGTACTGATCAACTGACGTTGTTACTCTTGGTACTGATCAACTGATGTTGTTACTCTTGGTACTGATAAACTGACGTTGTTACTGTTGGTACTGATCAACTGACGTTGTTACTCTTGGTACTGATCAACTGACGTTGTTACTCTTGGTACTGATAAACTGACGTTGTTACTGTTGGTACTGATCAACTGACGTTGTTACTCTTGGTACTGATAAACTGACGTTGTTACTGTTGGTACTGATCAACTGACGTTGTTACTCTTGGTACTGATTGACTGACTTTGTTACTATTGATACTGAATGACTGACTGAAAGTTTTTATAATACCAGTACCATAGAAAAAAAAATGAACATAAAAATATGTCAAAGGATACATTAATGTTGAACAAGCATTCATTGCTAGAGCTCTAGTTTCATTGTGAATATTATGGGAAGATTCGGCTTTCATGTAATTCTAAAAAAACAAACAAAACAATGGTAACCTACATAATATCAAAAGATATCTTATAATAAAGTCATCAAAATATTTGTATAACATGCAGATAAAGCATTATCACAGGCTATTTGTATCAGTTGTCAACTAAGTTCCAGTCTTTTCAGAATTTACATTGTTGTAATTTCTCTTTGCACTGCAGCAAAGAACATTTATTATAGTACCATTTCAATTTGATCTTTTTTACTCAAATTGATAATTGATGAGAAAGAATTATGTTCGCTTCTTGTGACCTATAGGAGAGTATCTTCTATAACACCCAACATTAAGTTGTGTTCTCATATATCAATCACAAGTTTTGTGTCTGTGTTAATATTTATATATAACCAGTTTATATCTGTACACATACTAAATAGAATCTCTCAACTTTTCTTATATTCGTTATGGATTTTCATATATTTCAACGTAGGGTAACAAAAATTATATAATAATAGAAGAAATAAAACATTAACCAAAATTGTGAATGAAATAGTAAAATAACAACCAAATTTTATCAAATATAATACTCAAAAAAATTTTGTTCCAAAAAAGTTGTTTCAAGGACTGGTCAAGTTTTCTTGAAGTGCTTAAATTTGCAAAAGGTGAAAATAATAAGTGAGTTGTATACCTGTAAATGAGTTAAGAATTCACCTCTAGTTGTAAAGTTATATTGTTGTTCTAAATGATCTGGATGTAAGGCTTGTCCAATATTAGATACAGTACGAATTAGGTTTTGTTTCACACTTGTATCCTAATAAATAGAGTTTTATTTACGTGCAGAATAAATCAAATAAAGAAATAACAGGCCAACATGCAATCCCCTGATAAAAACAGATTTGCTAGTGATGATGCTTTCTTAGCTTTTCACCAGAAGAGTTTCAATTTCTCCATTAGACAGATTATATACTCTCTTTTTGTCCTCAGAATAATTTTGATAAAATATGGCCAAAAAAAGAATATTTTTACCCCTGCATCCTACGCAAAATATACCTGAGCAGCCGTGTAAATCGGCCATTACAAAGTGACGTCACATTATGTTAACGTCACATGCTTTAAGTTATATTACTTGGAATTCAGGGTACATGACGTTTTTATTTCATTTACACTTAGTGTTCAAAGGTTTAAAGATGTAAGAATTCTGTCATCAATAGCAAACCTGTTTTTAACAACATCTAAAATGAAGTGAATACCTGTAAATGTATTAAAAGTTGTCCCCTATGTTTAAAGGTATAAATCATACACAGGGAATCTGGATGTAAACACCGTCCTAACAGTTCGATTGTACGAATGAGATTCCGGCGTAATTCTACACTCTGAAAGTTGGGAGAGAATCTTTATAATTCTACATGCACAATACATGGAGATGGAAGTGTTAATGCTAAGCACCACTGTAATTTTTCTTTCCATAAAAATAATTTCGTTGTAACACAGGGCCTACTTTGTTCTTGTAAGAAGAAAGCACTAATTGGAGGGATTGGGAGGTAAAAGGAATAGATTATTTGGCTACATAACTACTCCATCTATTGTATTTCACTGCAAACATCAAATTTGTCAAAAAAGGTCTAGACTGCACAGTGATATTTTATAGCATTTAAACACAAGTGAAAATGGCTGATAGCATGGGAGAATTTTTACTGGCCATTGATTGAAGGTTCACGCTGAGTAAGGGTGTACTGTTTGTACAAGTTTGGCTGTACATTGTTAGACTCACATTTCTGCATACTTATATATTCGCAAATTTTTCACAAATAGATCAAGAACTAGGTGTAATTTACCTTGACATTTTGAAAATAAGGTGAAATGGTACGTAAGATAGTAGCTTCCATTCTGGATACAATAAGAGTAGGTGGTGAATATAGAGCTACAAAACCATAACATAACATTAATGTAGCTTTAATTCTTTCAACATCTACATCTGATTTATTATCCTGTAAATATATACAATTATTACTGATATACAATACCAAAAAATCTGGGAAGAGCTTAAAAGAGCTATAACATAGTTTGATCATTTGACTCTGAAAGCATCAAAAGAGTGGCATTGCTCATGTCAACCCCCCCTTTTGTCATTTTTTAACACTTTCCAAATTTAATTTTCAGTCTAATAAGAGTTTCATTCAATGGTCAGAGCTGTTCACAGTTCTAGTTATTATTGTCAAACTAAATCTAAACCAGTCGAAACAATACTATCTTTGACACTCAGTCTGAAGGTTGTAAACTGTTAATGTTAAAGGTTTACTCTTCACTAACAAGGTAATAAGGTAATTTTGGTACTTTATGATATTGTTATTAACTACTTACCTTGCTAACAAAACTCAGAAATCCGCCAGATTTTTTTGATAAATCATTTTTCGCCACACTTTCTAGTTTACTCAATGCTGCATCAAGATGAGAAGCTGCACAGAATCCAATAGCTATAGCACATCCCTGAAAATATTCAAAATTTATTTTTAGCTATGTCTTCCTGTTTTTTGAATAATAATAAAAATCATTTTAATCTTATTTGAAATGAAATGTTATCGAATATTTTCTAGATGTCACAAACTATATTTTCTAGATGTCACAAAATAAAGTTATATTTTCTTGATGTCACAAAATAAAGTTATATTTTCTTGATTAAAGTTATATTTGATTGATGTCACAAAATAAAGTTATATTTGATTGATGTCACAAAATAAAGTTATATTTTCTAGATGTCACAAAATAAAGTTATATTTTCTAGATGTCACAAAATAAAGTTATATTTTCTAGATGTCACAAAATAAAGTTATATTTTCTTGATGTCACAAAATAAAGTTATATTTTCTTGATGTCACAAAATAAAGTTATATTTTCTTGATTAAAGTTATATTTTCTTGATGTCACAAAATAAAGTTATATTTTCTAGATGTCACAAAATAAAGTTATATTTTCTAGATGTCACAAAATAAAGTTATATTTTCTAGATGTCACAAAATAAAGTTATATTTTCTTGATGTCACAAAATAAAGTTATATTTTCTTGATGTCACAAAATAAAGTTATATTTTCTTGATGTCACAAAATAAAGTTATATTTTCTTGATGTCACAAAATAAAGTTATATTTTCTTGATGTCACAAAATAAAGTTATATTTGATTGATGTCGCAAAGTAAAATTATATTTTCTAGATGTCACAAAATAAAGTTATATTTTCTAGATGTCACAAAATAAAGTTATATTTTCTAGATGTCACAAAATAAAGTTATATATAATTGATGTCACAAAGTAAATTGTATGTTCTTGATGTCATCATAGAACTGTAACCAGCTAAATATTGATGACCAATGTCTAACTTGGTATGGCTTACCTCTCTCTCTGTTTGATCAGTATGTTTCACTGAATTAAATACCAAATCTAAATGTTTGGTTACAAATTCTTTCTTTGTTGACTTCCTCATAATTATACCAAGACATTTATATAGAAAATTCTGGAAAATATAAGCGTTACATTGGTTCTATTTCATAATATGAATCATACTTTTAATTTATAAACTGTGTTATTGACTAATATTTAAAGAAAAACTTTGAAAATATTATATGGCACTTTGAGTAAACTTTTTCAATTCAATATGAAAATATGTTCTTTCTGTCAGTTATTTTTTATGGACTAGAAACAAATCTATTGCCATAAAGTTTTTTGTATGTCAATGATATATTTTGATGAACCTACCTTTTCCCCAGACATATTAGTATAATGTCCAATTTGTTGACCAAAAGCTTCTCCAACCTCAACTATCCATTCTTCATTATCAACAACATCTAAACTTTTAGATAACATCTGTCAATATTAAATATTATATTCTTCATTATCAACAACATCTAAACTAATATTAAGTTCTTCATTATCAACAACATCTAAACTAATATTAAATTCTTCATTATCAACAACATCTCAACTACTATTAGATTCTTCATTATCAACAACATCTAAACTAATATTAAATTCTTCATTATCAACAACATCTAAACTTTTAGATAACATCTGTCAATATTAAATATTATATTCTTCATTATTAACAACATCTAAACTACTATTAGATTCTTCATTATCAACAACATCTAAACTTTTAGATAACATCTGTCAATATTAAATATTATATTCTTCATTATTAAGAACATCTAAACTAATATTAAATTCTTCATTATCAACAACATCTAAACCAATATTAAATTCTTCATTATCAACAACATCTCAACTACTATTAGATTCTTCATTATCAACAACATCTAAAGTAATATTAGATTCTTCATTATCAACAACATCTAAACTAATATTAAATTCTTCATTATCAACAACATCTAAACCAATATTAAATTCTTCATTATCAACAACATCTCAACTACTATTAGATTCTTCATTATCAACAACATCTAAAGTAATATTAGATTCTTCATTATCAACAACATCTAAACTTTTAGATAACATCTGTTAATATTAAATATTATATTCTTCATTATCAACAACATCTAAACTAATATTAAATTCTTCATTATCAACAACATCTAAACCAATATTAAATTCTTCATTATCAACAACATCTAAACTTTTAGATAACATCTGTCAATATTAAATATTAGATTCTTCATTATCAACAACATCTAAACCAATATTAAATTCTTCATTATCAACAACATCTCAACTACTATTAGATTCTTCATTATCAACAACATCTAAACTACTATTAGATTCTTCATTATCAACAACATCTAAACTTTTAGATAACATCTGTCAATATTAAATATTATATTCTTCATTATTAACAACATCTCAACTACTATTAGATTCTTCATTATCAACAACATCTAAAGTAATATTAGATTCTTCATTATCAACAACATCTAAACTAATATTAAATTCTTCATTATCAACAACATCTAAACCAATATTAAATTCTTCATTATCAACAACATCTCAACTACTATTAGATTCTTCATTATCAACAACATCTAAAGTAATATTAGATTCTTCATTATCAACAACATCTAAACTTTTAGATAACATCTGTTAATACTAATATTAGATTCTTCATTATCAACAACATCTAAACTAATATTAAATTCTTCATTATCAACAACATCTCAACTACTATTAGATTCTTCATTATCAACAACATCTAAACTAATAATAAATTCTTCATTATCAACAACATCTAAACTAATATTAAATTCTTCATTATCAACAACATCTAAATTTATATCAAATTCTTCATTATCAACAACAACTACACTATTATCAAATTTGTCATTATCAACAACATCTAAACTAATATTAGATTCTTCATTATCAACACCATCTCAACTACTATTAGATTCTTCATTATCAACAACATCTAGACTAATATTAGATTCTTCATTATCAACAACATCTAAACTTTTAGATAGCATCTGTCAATACAGAATAAATACAAAATTCTAATATATCAACAACATGTAAACTGATATCAAATTCTTCATTATCAACAACAACTATTTAAAACTACTATTAAATTCTTCATTATCAACAACATCTCAACTACTATTAGATTCTTCATTATAAACAACATCCAAACTAATATTAGATTCTTCATTATCAACAACATCCAAACTTTTAGATAACATCTGCAAAAATTAAATTAAAGGAGTAGTATATCCATAATAGTTATTCTTGCTGAATGTTCTACCCACTTCTAAATGTCATTTAAAGATTATAATATTAGATTCTTCATTATCAACATCATCTAAATTTAACTGATTTATCTACCTTCAAAAGTAAATCCTCCCAATTTTTCTGTGACCATTTTTCTTCATCATCAAGATTATCTATAAAAATGAAGCACATGAGAAATGCTAATAGTTTCATTGAATAGGAGCGAAAAGACATCAATAAGAATATTTCATAGTAGAAAAACTATCAATTCATTAGACAATCACTTTAAACCTAATATTTTAAGGACACATTGTAAGACTAGGGGTATATAAATCAAAATTGTTGCCGATCTTTTACAGGTTTCTTACCTTCCAAATATTGTAGTAGTTTGGGTATAACTGTGTCCCATAATTCCACTAAACTTTCATGTAAATTAGGTGATATTCCTTTCATTAAAGATAAAACATGTAGACCTCTTTCACTTCCATGTGATGGTCTTCCTGCTAGTACCTTGGGAAAAAATAATTTAGGTTATTTATACAGATTATACAGGCATACAACTTCTGTGTCAAATCTTTGCTTTCATTGCTTGCTGTCAATACAAATCTTAGTCTGGAAGTGGTCCCTAATGATTGACAATTGCTGGTAAGCACTTCCTTAAATGATAAACTTTTGTTGGTCTTGTCTTTAAAAAGTAAATGATGTATGTGCAGTGGACTTTGTGCACATAGGATTGGTTGTCATATTGAACACAAGACTTTAACTTAATGGAAACATAACTCATACCAAATTAAAATACTTACAACTAGTCTAGCAATAATAGCAGG